ACACCAAGGAGATCTCAGCGTGTCCAAAGAGCAGCTTTGCACCGAAGTGGAGAGGACTAAGAGTCTGCGCCAAGAAATGTGAGTGCACCTGGGTCCAAGCATGGTACTATCGGCATGATGGGTCACATATAGGTGCCAGACTTCTCTACACGCTGAGACACTGACGAGATTAAATGCTACAGGTTCTTACCAGGCTTATTGTGTTTTCCTCCAATCAGCGAGGAGCTCAAAAAGGTGGTCTCTGACAAGTCGCAGTCCCTGCAGATGCTGCAAGATGAGAACACCAAGCTGAGCCGGGAGCTGGAAAACAGCCACAAAGACCAGAGCAATCTAGTAAAGGTGAGAGATTTCTTCATAAAAACACATGTATGTTTTCATGTGTGTATATTCAGACATTGGTATTCAGCCCATTTATGAACTGGACTTTCGACTGTTTATTCCCAGTCAAAGGATGAGCATGCCAAACTCAGAAAAGAGCTGGAAGAGTTGAAAAAGAGGTAAGAGAATAATTTCCTCCCCCTTTTTCCCTTATCTTGTTTTGTTTTTTGTTCCTTTTAACTGCATGCCTGGTATCACCAGCTTGATACTTCCTATTAATACACGTAATCGTATTATTCATATTTATTGGTGTATGACACTGTCCTTTTTTACTTCCAAGCTTCCCAAACAGTGCTTTCAGGTACTCTATGCCTTTTTAATAATGTGTCTTGTTTGTCCTCATGCTTTTTTTGCAGTTGTTTATGTTTTGCCCCAGGAAATAAGTTTAGTTCAGTAGCTTTTATTTGTCCCAGTATGGGAGTGCCATGGCCCTGAAGTTCAGGTTTATAGAATGAACTCAAAAGGTGAAATATGGTCAGGTTTCTCCCCCTAACCCACAGTGAATGCATGTGACTTTTTTTCTTTTTGTTAAACAGTGAGAGCACTTTGAAGGGGCAGCTGGACAAGGAGAAGGCAACCCTCCAAAAGTCCATCCATAAAAACAGTGCCTTAATTTCAGAGAAGGACCAGCAGGTGGACAATCTAAAGAGCGAGGTAGGAACAACATCGGATTGGTTTCATTTAATGAAGTTTTTCTGATTAATATTGACAAAGGTCTTAATTGTGTGGTGCACAGAGTGAATCTACCCATTTGAAATGACAAACTTGAAATCATGCAGACTGAATGCTGGACAGTTTGTGATGAACTCTGAGCACAGAGACGTTTAAAACTTCTTAAAACGCTGGTTAAGTACCATATGCAGCTTTTAGCATCATAAATGGTGGACCACATTTTACCCAAATCAAAGATAAACTGACCCGAATAGGATGTTTCTAACAGGATGCCACTCCTAAGTTGAGCAATATTCGAGTAACTGGCATTTTTGTGAATTATCTCTTAACAATCTGAGCTCTGAAGACGGTAAACACTGTTGCTGGTGGAGACCTACTAACACATTTTTCTTGTAAGTGGAATCTGATATCGTCTTTTCTGCTGCCATGACCTATAGAAAGTCCTGTGCTCCAATGTGAATTAAATACTGAAAGTTTTTAAATGGTTTCGGTCCTCTGTTGGTGACATTTGTCTCTATGCTGGTAATGAATTTCAGCCGTCTGATGGTTTTGTTGAGCTGGGAAAAGAACGGCTGTGGGTGGTTTTCCTTGCAGCTGGCTGTCCTGCGTGGAGAAAGTGCCTCAGTTAAGACGCTGCAGAGTACAGTCCAGGACTTGGAGCATGACAAAGCAAAGCTGCAGGCGCACGTGCAGACGCTGGAGGAGGAGCTGGCCGCCGGGCTGGACAGCATCAGCAGGTCCTCAGGTAACTATGGTAACTCTGGGCCACTGAGAATATTTCTGCAGAAAACAAAGACATCAATCAGTTGTTGTTTGGTTTGTTTTCTAGGTGATGCCATTTTGGACAAAATGAGGGAGGATAAAGAGACAGCAGAGAGTCAGGTGGGCACGGTTGCTCTTCTCCCAAATCGCTTGGTTTTGATTTGAATCCATTTCGTCTTATTTCCTTTTTCGTACGTTCAATGTAACGATTGTTTCCCACCCTGCTCACTGAATCTTTTGACAGTAACTCGCTCTCGTTACGATGACGTGGCAGTCGGATGGAAACAGTCTGAATGCTGTGAATGTTCACCAGTAGTTCGGTTTCTACCAGAAGCTCTTTGTGGTATTTTAAAGTGGACTCATGTTACAGTATAATGCTTTACAGAGGTGATGTGGGCCAAATGATTTGAAATGACATTGAAGTCTCCCAGACGCTGACCTAATGCCCCAGTGGAGGCCATTCAGCCACGCTCGTGTCTCGCCTCCTCTGTTTGCTGTAAAACCTTATACTGTACTCTCTGTGTCTGTGATGACATGAGTGTATTGTCCTTTTCAAGAGGGGTCCTAATTCAAATTTCGTTGTTTTTTTCTCCCCCTCCTCTTTCTAATAAATTCAACTCTCCTCCTCTGCCCTGTCTCTGATGTTGGCAATGCTACACCACCATCAGGCAGCGGTTTGTTAATGTTTTTCATCAGCTTCACTTGTGCATGCGTTTTCACTGTGGCTCCTGTGTCTCATCCAGTTGGTGTGAAAAACTACACACTCTCATCCAAAGATGAATCAAACTTGATTTACCAATGGCTCTAATAATCACTGGTCCCTCCGACAGTGCTCTTAGTTACAGCAGGAGTGGAGGATGCCACTCCATGGCATTCTGCTGACTCATTCGAGCTTTGGTTTGTCTTTGGCTGATATTTCGTGGTGCCAGTTCAGCACCTTCATCACTATTGGGATTCTTTGGCGGGTTGTGTCACAGTTACCTCATGTAAATAGGTCTAAAAACTGCCCTCACAGGCTGCGGAGCCGTGGGACATAACGGAAAAATCCTTAACAGAAAACACTGTTTTGTGATTGTTTTTTTTAAACAAGTATTATCATGTTATTGGATTATTATTCACGAAAAAACAATGATTCCTCACCTGTGGCAGAGACGACACTAAAGCTGTGTGTTCCCTTAACAGATTGAGTTCCTGAACTCGGTCATCATTGACCTCCAGAGGAAGAACGAAGAACTGAAAGACAAATTGGAGACAATGGCAGCCGCTGCTCTCAATGGGAACAATCCAAGTGAACTGGATAATTATGATGAGTAAGTCCCGATCAAAGCAGCTTTTTGCTTATGAGCACGTATAGATAGTGTGTTTTACGCAGAGGTGCCTGCTCTGTCCGCAGCCATGACAAGCAACCCGCCAAGAAGAAGCCCCCGCCCAGGCTGTTCTGCGACATCTGCGACTGCTTCGACCTGCACGACACCGAGGACTGTCCCACACAGATGCAGATGCCCGACTCCCCCCCACACACCGCCTACCACGGCAGCAAGGGCGACGAGCGGCCCTACTGCGACATCTGCGAGGTCTTTGGCCACTGGACTGACTCCTGTAACGACGACCAGACCTTTTAAAGCCTTTTAAACCCTCGTTCGCACAATCGGTAAATTTTGCACATCATGGTTGTTGAGCTGCATTTGTATTCTGCCCCCGTGTGTTGCGTGCTTGTTGTTGCCCGGGCCTCTCGGGTGTCCACGCCATCCCACAAGCACTCAATCAGGAGAATCCTCTCCTCAGAACCTTCCCAAAAAGTTCCATCCACCCAGAAGAAAGAGACAGTGAGCGGATTTAGTTTGTGATTGCGGCTGCCTGGGAAAAGGTTTGATGTCCCGGCTTTGTGTGAGTGGATGTCCCGCCCAGGCAGATAAAATGGTTAATTTATCATTCTTCTCACACTGTTTGCACAGTTCATCAGGGGATTTCAGAGATCATTTACTATTGGAGACGATGTATGTTTGAACTGTAAAATACTTGATTGAAAAAAAAAGTCTGTTTTGCGCAAAATAAATCGGTGAGCTATAGTTTATTTTTTTATGCCTGGAAATAATATGTATCCATAAGAGGTTTGATAATGTGTGTAAATTTTGCCATGGGGAGAGACTTGCTTGCTCTGATCTGGAGCAGAGCAGCGACACATTGCTGTCTGGCTTTAACTTTTTTACAGTCTTCTACAAGGGACTGCTGTAAGCATGTGAGAAGGATCCTCGGTTCCAGTTGATATGGCCTTTTCAAAAACTTTCTTACTGATGACTCGTGTATGAATTGGTTAAATTCTTTGGGTTTTCTTTGAAAATGTGTTGAATATATCTGTATAAAAATAAAGTTTATGAATGAATTAAAAGGATCTGATTTCGTACTCTGCTTGCCAGCAAGCTTCACAAACTACCAACAAACACCCTTATCCCCAGTTTTTCTGCTTAACATCATAGATTGTATGTGTTCTTATTGAAATTAGATTACTTTAATAAGTAACTATGACTGTATTGGCAGGGGGAAAAATTCCCTGAAAAAAAAACAAACAAACCTTGATGATATCTGTGTTATTCTGTAAGCTGAAGAGTTTTTCTGTCTCTCCTCTCAGAGGAAAAGTCAATTTAGCTTACTTTTGTTGCACGTTTATCCACAAACCTGCATTTGGATCAGTGTAGAGCATGGTGAACTTGGTCCCTCTGGGCACTGGTGCACTCGCATCCACTGATCCAGCATTTCCAAAACATTAAGCACAAAAACAGATGCTGTAACTATTATATATTTTAAAGCAGCCTTAGGATTGTATCCATATTCACCCATGAATGCTGTGACCAAGTAGCATCATAGCTAAAATCCTTAAAGTGGGAGCATCTAATGGATTTATGAATTTTTTTTTGTTGAGACTTATATAAAAAAAGCTGTATTTTATGATTGGAAACATAAATTATGGAGATAATCTTGTAGCTTGTAGTTTCTGTTCAGTCCATTTAGAAGCAGCTTTTGGCTCATTTTAATATTAAAAACACAAACTTATAACACTCTTATGTTGACATGTCATAAATTGGTGGTGGTATTAAGTTTAATGGAACTCCATGGTATCAGACCCAGTTCCAGGTGACCGGAGGACCTCAACCTGGGTTTGCTTTCTGATGAAAAAGTCGTTGTGTGCTCTAGGGGCTTTGTTTAGGTTGTATTAAAAGGTGCGCCTCAGATGCCGACTGCCATTTCTCCAGCTCCACGCTCAGCTCTACAGTCACTGCGTTCAGCTGGACGGGAGCAGGGCTGCCCGTGGGGGTCACATCCAGGTCCTGTTGCTGACTTCCTTTCCTTTTACCTGCATCACACAGCGTCAAATAGGTCACCGAAAACTGGAGGCAAAGCAAATAGTAGCTTTCAGCCCCAATCTAATACTCCAATGACCACAACCTTAGATTAACTCCTCACTGTCTTCTGATTCTCAGTCTGTTGCAGACTGGCGCTAACTGTCAGGGTGTCGAGAGGTGCTACCTTTTGAAGATGCTTTCTGTAATGCTCCATTGTTCTTCTCCTCCTTCTTTTTGTCCTCTTTTTTAGTCTTTCCCGAATCCTAAGTGTGTGAAAAATAAGACCACACGACAGAGTAGTGCTCATCTCATCTCAGGTTTACAGCTCACCATCTTGTGTCTTCCCTGTGGGCTGATGTTTTTAGACCCAAGTTGGCAAAGATTTAAAAAAAAAACATATTTAAGATGTAATAGAATTTACATGAGTACCAAATCTGTGTTCCAAGTAATTGATGGGGTTAGTGGACGGCATTCCTCAACCATGGTTTGGCTGTTTAAACTGTCACATGCAGACTTACCGTGTGAGGTTTTGGTAAAGCCTCAGAGTCTGTCTGCAGGGGACCAAAGTCACAGAGGACGCTGACCTTCTGACCGCCTTCGGCCAGGCTTTGCAGTGGGACATGTGCAGAGCCAAGAACCCTTCTTGTGGGGGGGTCGTGAACCAGCTCTGGCACGCACTTCGACTTTTTGTCTTTGGACTTCTCTTTGGTGGGAGCAGATTTGGCCGGACTAGAAGCCTGGAGAAGATATGCACACATTTGGATTCACATTTAGTCAGAAGAAAAAGATTTGTAATGTTTATGTTGAGCTGTTTCGAGTACAAATTGTTTATGTGTGTAGCCACTTCTGTCCAAAGTGGAGGGGAAGTCACCTGATAATAATTCAGTTTGGTTTTTGACACTGTGGAGTGTTTTTAATCAGTAAACTTTTCGGGTTTCCTGAATAGCTAATCAGAAAAACCATGAAGTCACTGAGGTGGGATCTTTTTTTTTTACTTTAAAGAGAAACTTACTTCCTTCCCCTTCCCTCCTTTGTTCTCCTTTGATGGTTGAACATCTTTTTCCACGGGCCAAGACAAGACCTAAAATACCATATTCCAAAAATAGCTTTTGACACAATTTACATTTCAAACCAGCTCAGGAGCTCATTTTTCGTACCTTTTCCTCCTCAAGCCTGACATGAAATCCTTGATTGAGGAATTTTTTTAATTCTCTCAGAGAACTAACAATATTGGTTTGTGTGTAATTGAAGTCCATGCACTCGGACCATATCAATTTGGACGTGCTCTGCGGTGACACTGAGAAAAGAAAAGGGGGGAAAAACTTGTGAAAGTGTCACATATTTACATGACAAGTCAGAGATTAAGATAGGGAAATAACTGATGAATAAGTGATGATAAATGATCCAACGCGTCATCTACAACTCTAGGCTTGTTCTGACTGTAAGGGAACATGAGAAAATTTGAGACACTGATAAAAAAAAGGCATATCCCAGTTCCTTGAATGGAAAGAATCATAGTAAGAGAATTTCCTGACCCTCTTGCTGACAGTCTGCGGGTTTCTATCTCTGTTTTTTCTAAACTGCTGCATCAGCTCTGGGACTTTTTGTGTTTTGATCCACTCGTCTGTACGGGCCTGAAACCTGTCCATGCTGAAATAAATTAGCTTTCTTACGGCGTGCATCATCAGAGCAGGTCCCCTCAGCGCTGACCCCCATTTCTCCAGCGTCAGTTGTGGACGTCTGTCTCTCACAGTTCTTGTTAGACGGCAGGTCAGTGTCGCTGCCGCTGTCCTCTGTGAGCTGTGCTGTGGATGCTGTGTCAGGTCCAGACTCAATGTCAAGCTTCTGTCAACCAAAAGGAAGTTTAAAACAAATATCTAGTTTCATAAACTTGATATTTTGGGCCTTTTTGGTGTTAAATGTGCTAACTGCACAAGTTCAATTCAGTGCAATCACATTTTTTTCCCCCCACAGCTCCGTTTTACTTGTTATCTCAGACACTTTTGATGGAGAATAGTTTTTCCACAAGTTTAACCAAACCCAAATTACAAGGTTTAATCAAAACTCATTCATAAAATCGGCCCAATTGTTTTCTGATGATAAGCCTCGAACATCAGTGTGATAAGTAATACCTCATCTGGCCAACGGGTTGGTTTTTAATTGGGTTTTTTTGTGTAAGATAGTGTACCCTTTGACATAGTTTTAGTGAGGGAGCCACTCACTCCTAAGAGAGCGGATTGGCTGGCTAAAACATGTGATACAGATGCTCAGATTAGAGCTGAAGATCTGGGTCATGAAAGCAAATATGGGAATATAATAATTTTGTCTAAATACAAATTTACATTCAAATTTGTACAACAACGCATGACCAAGATTTTAGGGGGAGTAATACACCTTCACCCATAACATGGACATTTAGGTCAAATAGTCAGTAGGTGGGATGACTATCAGTTCCATTCCCATTATCTTTATATCAAAGACTTGTCTGTTATGAGTCAAGTTTAACTGACACTCAATGGAAACTCTGTTTTTTTATACTCCAAGATCCAATAATATAGTGATTAAAAAACATAGTAACAAACACACAAATGTTTTTTTAAATAACTTTTTAAATGACAAATGGTGCACTAGGTTGAAAGTATAGACATACACGAGACAACCGATTGTAGGCGGATACTTTACCGTGTCATCAGGTGAATGACGAAGGAAACCATACGTGATAAAATATTTGTAGCTGACAACTGGAAAGTCAGAAGCCTTTCCTTTCAGTGGATCTGGGATTCCCCTCACTCTGCCCACCCTTACTGTAGCTGATGCCAAGTCCACTATCAGATCTGTGCAAAATCACCAGCAGTTACTTGAAGTCCACATTTCATACGAACGGGAAAAAAACATCTGTGAGGAACACGGTTTCACGGTCCACGCTCACCGCTCATCTTGGCCAAGCCCCTGAAATGAAATCTCTCATCGGGAGAGATCCATGAGCCGTCTAGCCAAGCAAGCCGTGGGAGACTGTCCACAGTGAAGCCTGGATATGCAGGTGAAAGGGAAATGGGGTTTCCCTCCAGCACCAGTGTCTTCAGGCAAGGCAGGGTGCACAAGGCCCCCATCAAGCTCTGCTGCTCCTCAAACTGGCAGTCGCCGAGGTCCAGACACACGAGCTTTGGCCTGAGATCGGAGAGGGTCACCAGTTTTACAGATGAGCTGTGTAAATGACTGGACGGCAACTGATAATTCAACAGCACTTTTTGGTAGAGGAATAAATCGGTCAACGGGTTATTGAGGTGTTTTGGGTTCGCATTTTCAGTTGAAATGTTGCAAAACGTAACGGGTGATCTGAAAAGAAGTATGTGCCAAAGAAAAAAAGCGTAGCTGGAAATCTCTCCGATATGCTGTGGGAAAAATGGTTCAAGCTCTTTAATTATACCTTTGTTTCATAAACTCTTGGAAATGATTGCTGATTGTGAAAGACGTGTTAAAAGTGCCCCTTTTTTTTTGTTTGAATCCTGTTACACATCATTTTGATATAAGAAACAATGAGACGATAAACCGTAATCTTGTTTTGCTCAGAGTGAAACTGGACTGTTGAGCATTTTATAGGAAATGAAAAAAAGAAAAGTCGTGTATGTGACAGCATCTTGTGCCGGTGATGTCATTACTGACTTACCCTTTCATGTATCAGTGGGTATCAAACAGCTGGAGGTAAATCAGTACAATTTGATGATAAATGCTACAAATGAAAAAGCTTCCAGATAGGATGTCTTATCCCAGTCTGACCTTCAATTTGCCTCCCAACTGAAAAGCTAATCAATGAATTTGTTTTGAGCTGAACTCAGGCGGGTTCCAATGTTTATGTGTGGAACTTCACCAGTGTATTCCCGTAAGATGAGAAACATCTTCACAGGAACCCAGGCTGTTTGAGCCGAGGCCGAGGTAGTGCAGCTGAGGCGGAGGTAGCCGCGTGAGGCTGCTCAAAGAGGACAGCCGGTTTGCACGTAGCTCCAAGATCTTCAAAAGAAACATCTTGTTAGTCAGCTCATCAACATATTGCAACATCTGGGAAAAGAAAAATGATCAAATACGCTGCTCCAGACTATTATAAATAAGAAAAAGTACCTCAGCACCTTCTCCCCCAACCTCTGATGTGATTGGAAATCAAGTGAAAAACTTTCTTTGTTTGTGACTAATGCTGTGTGACCGCAGAGGAGCGTTCGGGCCATGACTTGCCTTTAAGGTTTCTGGAAGGTTCTCCACAGGGATTTCTGAAATGAGATTGGCGCTCAGCACCAGCTCTTCCAGCTTTGAGAACTTCAGTAGACCGTTGTCCATCACCGAAACCTTAAAGCAACACAGACACAATGTTGGAACTTGCAAACAGACTCTCAATAACAAAAGTTAAAGTCACTCTGGCTCTGGAGTTTTTAGCAACTGAATGCAAAAAAAATTCATAATCATACTCACGCCTTTGTCCAGGATACGTATAGTTTTAAAAGTGTCGTAAATGCAGTCAGTGTGCAGGCGCTCAGGTGTGAGCACTGCCTGTTGTCTCAGGGATGGAGCCTGAGGGCTCCAGGATTCCGGATCCTGCTGCCACGGTGAATGAGGGCCCCTCAGCAGGTCCAGCAGGGCGTCGGTGGACTCGGTGTCTGGCCCCTCTGGGCTGCTGTCTTTGGTGTTCCTCTGAGAACAGCATCGACACACCTCTTTGTATTTCAATTTTTCAAAAAGTATCAATCTAGTGGACAGCTGAAAACTCACCCATGAGCCGTTTCCACAGGGAAAGTCATTGAGACAAAGAAGGCGAATCTTCTTCTTTAACACGGCAGAAAGTGTTCTGGAGCTCATAACTGGCGACGGAGCAGAGTACAGCTAGATAGAACAGACGACAAAGGTGCAGGTGCTAAAGGACGTAAGCCCCCCAAAACCCATTTAGCCTCAATGTGAACTGATGCTAATTTCCCCATGTTTGTTTGTTGCCTGGCAACAGCTAGGTTCAGGTACCTTGCTACAGGCAACGTGGCTGTTAGCAGTTAGCACCCATAGCACAGAAACTTTTGAGCTGCTCTCCAGTCTGTCAAGTCATTGGTTAAACCCCATTTAGACATGAAAATTAAATAAAAATAGCAGATATCATGGTTTAGAATGGACACTGTGCCGTTTTATTCACCAGATAAATGGTTTGGTCAGACTTTTATCGGCAGTGTTATATGAAAGAAAAAAAGTACAATATGTCAAATATGCATGTTGCCATGGCGTCGCGTAAGTGGTCACAGCAGCTTTCGACATGTCTACCTTGTTTGAAGTGTATTATAGTGTTTTGTAAACTTTTTTCACATTTTCTTTTGCCATTTTGAGACTTTAAGCGGGGCACTTTGCGGTGTTGCTATGGGCAACAGGCTCAACCCTAACCGAGATCAGCTGGTACCCTTCGTGCGGTGAGACGTGAAATCCCCAAGTAAAGTGCAGAGAGGGGATTATATTGGGGAACGTAAGATCTCTCTAACGACGCTTCCTCTTCTCCCTCTCTCACCTGAGCCCCATCAGTTCATCCCCCCACCAGTTCACCTTTCTCATCTCAATCTCACTTCTGGGGATATCACCATTCATAACCCCCCCTCCACACACACACACACACACACACACACACACACACACATCCCTAGTCCAATCATGCTCAGCTGTAGTGTGATGTTAGCCTCATTGGAAATTGGTGTTAATTGGTGTCATATTTTATTATTTTGATAACTGTATTGTTATAATTGAATAACTCTCCCTTTAATCATTTTATTACATTGTAAATAACATTTATTTATGCTGCCAGTGTGCTTGTGCTGTTTCCCTTTTTTCTGCTGTAATGTGTACATTTTCCCACTGTGGCATCAATAAAGTATTCTACTCTTTTCTAAAAATAGCAATGCTTTTCTAAAAACACTGAGACCCTGTAGAAATGCTAAATTAAATCCAGACATTCTGAGAATAAGAATAATTGCAGGCACTTTATGTTTGGAAAATAAGCTTCTGTATTTAAGAAAGTGTCAGTAAACCTTCCAGGATGCTGTTCACAAGTTATTTTTCACATTGTGCCAACCTTTTTGGAAGTAATTTTTGTGGAAGTCTCTCTTTTTAGGATTTACAGTTTCATGTTTGAAATATATGAAATGGTATAGACTGACAATTTTGCATAACAAGCATGCCAATTCTACAGTAATTTTACAGGGGATGAGGCGTGGAGTGGATCCGCAACTATTTCAACCAAAGTGCCTTAAATGTTAAATAGTTAAATCCATGCATGCAAATATTAAATAGACAACTTTTTTTTTTAAATATCGCATTTTCCTTTACTTTACTGTGTTGACTTACTATTGAAGGGTGATAGAAAGCTAAGTTCAAAGCAAAGTTTCTTCGGGGGGGAAATGTTTTTTTCAGCTTTTCAAACGTTTTCCAGGATGTCCGACTGTTGGGGGGCTCACAACAGATACGCCATCCCCCTTTCAGACAGGTTTGCATCATTTTGACAAAATAACCCGTTGTGGTGAGCAGCGCTCTAAAGCAGAAACATGGAAAAGATAACAAATAGATTTTTTAGATTATAATACCACAAAAGCGTCATTGCACAAAAAAAAAAATCACCTTGTAGATGGCACTATAAAGCACAATGTGTCTGCTCTGAAGCACCACACAGCAAAGACAGAAAGCACTCCAACCATGCATCTGATCAAAGGTAAGCTCTGATACATGACTTGATGCAAAAAGTTTTGATGATTGTGCTCAGAGGATGAGACTGGCTAAAGCATTGGTCTTTTTTTAAATTAATAACTTTTTACTTCATTAGATATACACAGAATAATCATATGTTGTGATTTTGTCATTTGATTCCAGTTAGATTTCATTATGAAATTGTTTGTCTGCTTATGTGGATGATGGCGTCATTTTGTTCCTATTTAAATGTTTACAGAGCTCCTGTTTTTCACCCTCACGATTGTCGACCTCTCCTTTGTGGCCTCCAGACCACATCCAAGTGCTGCTGATCTGGCTTTGTCTAACCTAAAGAAAGCTAAAGAACAATATGTAAGAAGGCGTTTTTTGGATGTAAATACATGAATAAAATACTAATCCTCCACAAATACAGAGCAAGATTTCCTCCTTTTTGTAGCCAAAGACACCTTTTAATTCATTACTTGTAAATAAAGAACTTAGATTTATTTTCTGCACTGCCTTCATACTAAATTCTTTCTCTTCCTTTACAGATTGAACACATATTAAACAACGAAGAGTTGAAGGAATGCACGTCTTACTGGAGAAACGACAGCAAAACACAAGAGTTGGGGTGCATAGAGACACTTGATGGGATAACGTTTCCTGTGGGAAACACTACAGAAGAGATCCAACAATCCATGTGTGCCATCAATGACTATTTAAAAAAAACGCTTCCAAATCTCATCATGAATCTGACTCAGCACTATTCTCACCTCATCAATAATGTTAGGGTATTTCAAATTTTTATCGAAACCGCAAGCACAATTTGCAACGTACCTGTTGACTCGAGAAGGTGCCATACAGAGATGACATTTTCGACATATTACTCCAAGAAGGAAGCCGGCTACCGAATGATTCACTTTGCGGAGAAATGGCTGAAAACTTTCAAAAACATGAATCTCTGTCACATATGACCTATCATCACTTAAGACAACAGCATATCTGTTAGTCATTTTGCATTTATTTATGTATTTATTGATCTTGTTTTTACATGTCCTTCTATTTATATTATGACTGGATGCTGTAGCCTTTAACTATTTTATTTGTCACTGCAAAAATAAAACTGTCCCTTCCGACCAGACAGCTTTTGTTTTGAATCGTTGTTGTACCAGGTCGCTCTTATGGGGCTTTTCTATTAGTACATATTCAGTAGTTTAGAAACTACTCGGTGGGGATGCTGAGCCGGGAGAGTCGGGATCAGCCAGTGTATCATCAGCACGGTGTGACATCATGGACCAGTTGACCCATTTCTTTTTTGAAGATTTTGTTGGCTCTAGTGGCTTTTAAAGACAGTAGCTTGACAGGAAGGGGGGCAGAGATAGAGAAGGGGAGACCTGCATGGGTCGGAATCATGGGTCGGAAAATTAACCCAGGCCGCCCGCTTATGAGGAGAGGCTCCACACATGGTCCGCCTGCTGTAACCATTAGGCTACGCTGTGGCCCAAGTCGAACCATTTCTGTTAGGATGTAATTTCCAACGGTAAAAAATCTAAACCAATTGTGGCAAGGCGAGTAGACCCGAGTAGTGGATTTTGAATGAAAAATCCCCGCAAGTGAAGTCAGTCCAACCATCTGCCACCACTTCCTAGAACGGGGAAGGCTACATTACTCTGCTGGGGGAGGCCTCCTGATCGCTGTTAACTATTCTACCCTTGAGCACTGACAGTTTCAAGTACAAAATCTGTGTTCCGTGTTTTCTACACTGACAGAAAATATCTTCATGTCTAATGATCAAGCTTTAGCGAACGGGTCAGCATGTTTGCTTCATATGAAAAAAAACGATAAAGGTCAGGCCCTTCAGAAAGTATTGACCCTGCACCAACTGAAATTTACATGCATCCTATGACTGTGTCATGTGTCACTTAGTTTTCATTCATCACACTCCAAAGTGGGAAACCACAGACATAAATGCCATATGCATAGGAAACTATTAAAAACGCAGATTTTTATCTAATGAGTGGTAATAAAAGGGATCATATAAAAATGGGGTTGACAGAAAGTGTCTCCTCAGAGTTGGCTGTAGACTGAACCCACATGCAGTGATGGATTTTCGTGCTGGTAAGGAGTTTGAAATGCTGTTCCCCGTCTGCCTGCGCTTTTTCGCCCTTCTTTCCTCCGTGAACCAGGCAGCTCATCAGTACTTTCTTTGTCTGCAGCCGAAATTGCGCAATTTCTGAACTCTCCGACTGAGGCTGCATCTCATCCCTCACACCTAATGACCCTGTCCCGTTTGCTCTTTGAAGGCATTGCTGTGGTCGTCTTCCTGTGCCTGCACATCACACCTGCAGCCTTCCTTCCTGTGGACATCGGAGTAAAAGAGGAGGCCTGGAGAGCAACTATCAACATGACACTTGAGGGAATACGGACGTCGATAGACTACCTTGTGAGGGTTTTGGGGATTCGTTAAATCTATGTTTGCTTGTTTATAAGCCTGTTCAATAACTCAATCATCATCATTTCTTTAGTAGGAACAGCAGTTTGCCGAAATTTGGTTTAGGCCCCTTCATAGGAGTGTCAGTAAATAGTTACTTTGAGTTGTAAATAAAATAATTAGAGCCACAGTGTGGTCAGTCAGACCTTTTCTCCAGAGAAACTTCAATTTGAATTCTCTGTTAAGTCATTGATGTGCAAATGATTTTAAAGTCTTATGTTAAACAGGAAGGATCTAAAATATTCTTATAGGCTGAGTTTACCATTTTTGTCATGATGAAGCAAAATCAACATTAAACTCAACTTATAATGAAGATTTAGGCCCAAACTCAAAGACACCATTGGTGCAGCATCCTTAACTCCACCTTTAATTTAGTAACCCCCTGATGCAAACGCCACATTATGGCCAGATCTGGCCTGGCCGTACTCAGGCGTTGCTAAACCGGCAGCCTCTGCTTCTGGTCCTACAGACAGACCCGGAGCTGTTTCCCAACGTGTCCTGCGTGGCCCTGAACGTGACGGCGGCTCTGGGGCCGGAGCGGCGGCCCCTCTCCTCCACCCGCTGCTTCCTGCGAGAGCTTTCCCGCCGCATCCCGATGCTGTCAGGGCCGCTGACCTCCAGCGTCCAGTACCTCCTCGATGTGGAGCTGCTGCAGGGCAACCAGACCGTCCAGGTGACCTGCCAGCTGCCCACCTTCGAGCAGGACCTCGACTTCTATCAGTATGCCAAATGTCTGCTGCAGGTTGTAGAGGAACGACTCAGTGATTCCACCATCTCATCGCAATAGAAATGTGCATGTTGTATTTTTTCATTTTTTTTAAAACAACTGTAATTTATTAAGAAACTATTTTTTATAGCATATTGACGTTTTATGCTCGAAACCATTTATATTTATTAGAAACAAATGTACAAAAAAAGTATAAAACAATAAAAGGTTGTAAGATTATTATTTTTTGTTTATTGTGAGACAGAATCATTTAAATCCTCAGACATGGTGCATCTGAGGTCTCAGAACACTCATACATAGCGTAAGAAAATATTGTTGTTTTTTTTGCTTTGAACAAGTACTGGTAAAAACCAATACATGCAGATCTGATCTGCACTGTACAACAGAATAAAGAAAGGGCTCCTTCACAGAAAAGGCAAAAGAAGAGTCAGGAAACCCAGCCTGCATGCAGAAGGAAAACACCCAATAAAAACCCAAACTGAGCTAAATGGGGAAATGTTCAGGCTGTGCGCTACCATTCATAAGAGAAGAAACAAACACAACAAAGAATGAAAATCATTCGCATGTAACAATAGCTGCATTCACAGGAGCAATTTATTTTCTAAAAAACATAAATAAATTATTGCAGGGTACAAGCCAGTTTTTAAAGTTCCCATGGAATCAAATTTGAGCTTTGAGTGTTCATAAATGACCAAATGAAACAAGTTGCCGCACATACTTTAATATATTCCCCAACAATACAAAACATTATATTGTCTTGGGGGGGGGGTTATACTAGCTCTTCAAAATGATCCATTTCATGGAAAAATCATAATAAATATTGCCATCTTACATTTAGTAGAAATACCGTCTTTAACGATGGACTTTAGTTGCACCAATGTGGACTGGCAGGTGCTACCTGATCAGATCACTTTGAAGCTAAATGATCCGAGGCTGAAGGCTCCAGCATTGGGTTCTGCTCTTACGTTAAGTCTGTCACTCTGCAGACACAGACCACACAGCTCACCGTTTCCTGGGAACTTTAAGTGACTTTCTAAACAAAAACATGGTGCAAACCTGCACACTGTAAAATATCAGAAATTTGTTCTTTAACAAAACCAACCTCTCATTAAAAGATTGAAAGGCACAATCCTCAATAAAAGACTACACCCTAAAAGCTGCTGTTCATCCAATAAAAATTGTGCCTTTTTGAACTGTAAACTCAGTTTTGAAGGAAGAAAAAGCTAAAAGTATGGAGTACAATCCATTTCTGCCTGAGGAGAGCTATGCCAATTAAAAAACAAACAAACAAACAAACAAACAAACAAACAACACAACCCCCCCACTTCCAAATAAAACAAAAAGCCATAGCATAAAGGACACAATAGCCAGCAGTGATTACAGGTAAGGACACTTTGATCAAACAGCTGATTCATATATCAAATGAAGGCAACATCTGCATGCTGTGAGGACAGCAGAGCAATCCATCAGAAGTTAAGTCCAGAGAAGCAAATGTACTTGTTTTGGGAGGAATAGTTCTCCTAGATATGGCTTTTGGTTAACGTTTCTGTGCTGCGTTTTCACTTGGAAGAGTGTTCTCCTTCTGCTGTGTCCGTTTTCAGCCCGATAATGTAACCAAGGGCAGAGTAACCAAGGGCAGAGAGCCAGAGAAAAACAAACAAACACTATTAACCAATCCATGTGAGGCAAACAGTACCTTTATAAACAATGAGTGTTCCTGTTGAGAAGCGTCCTCACTTGATGCATTCAGATGGACAATAATCTCATATAATAGCATAGCCCTGAGTGACCAACGAAGAACAGAAGAGACCCCTGCAGAGGAGGAGAACCTGCAACATTTTACATGTAAATATAGAACATAAATGCAAAATCTGTACGGCTTTGTACTGTCAGTTATGATCCCTATGAGGGCTGTAAATAATAAACACTCCATCATGCTCTGACATGCCCTTGCGCATGCATGTGTGGCATGATGTATGCTACTAGATTTGTTGAAATTTGCAGTCAAACTGTCTATAAATGGGAAGAATGAACAAAAGATAGATGTTTGACGAGGACGGAGAACCACTAGGAAACCTCTAGTGTTAACTGGTAATCTAAACTTCACCTGAGTAAATGAAGGATGGAAAATGAAAGAAACTCCAGTTCATGCTGTGCTGACTAGGCACAGACTGGATCTTTAGGGGCAACATGTTGGTTGACCTCCTACATTCAGGTGTGAGGTTTTTACTTGAACCTCTGGAAAAAAAAGCAAATGTTAATCCTGCAGGAGTAAAATCCCACATTAATCTCATCCCCTGCTGAAAATGCGAAATAACTCTAATCTTGTTTCTAAATAAGAAGACAATTAACATGTACAGAGTTTGTCCCTTTTTTAAAAAAAACAACACAATGTGATTTTTTTACAATTATAAACACAAAATTTACTAAATCTATACTCATAAAACAAACCACATGTACCAGCGTCCGATGAAGTTGTTATAAGATCATCACCTGATGTAGGTGAAGGTTGTCATCATTACTGCATTATTTTCATCAATCAAAGCACAAGACATGAAACGTACAACTGTCCGATTAAAAACAAATCCAGCCCCTGGAAACATCCGTTTCACTGATTTCTCCGGGAAGCTTTGGATCAATGGAAGACCATGATGAATATCCTTTAGTAAAACTAGATAAGAAAACTAGTTCAGGTGGCTTTTGGTTGACCTCAACTCTTCACATCTGAGTGTGTGACGGCCTGAATGGCTTCCTCTGGAAGCCGAGAAGGGTCACTTAGAATGGACGTGGTTGTGCTCAGGTGACGGAGCGTACTTAGCACCACTGGAAAAGTAAAAAAACAAAGAAAAAAAAAACTGTTAGCAACTATAATCTTAACAGTAAAGAAAATGTAAAAAGATAATTCTCTATAAAAAGGTGTGTTTTTTTTTGTAGAATATATAACTCAATATCAATACAAGGATGACAACCCATTCACATTTGCAACTGAATCATTTCTCCAGCAGCTCTTTTCCTTTTTCTAGAAAAGAAAAATAAGACATGGCACAAGGCAACAAAATCACACTTATATTTCCTCATTTCAGAACAAAAAAAATAAATTGCTGCTCACTTGGAGCGGATGACATTTTCGTGACAGAGCATATTCTTTTACTTACTGGGCCTGAGTGCAGGGAGGGAGCAGTGACGCTCAAGCCACTGCAGCGTAGTTTGATACAGCTCTGCCCGGCTCGTCGTGGACACCATTCCATTGAATGACTCAAAGAGAGGCTTGATGATGATGCTGAACTGCAATGAATCACAGTTAAGGACACATAACAGGAGAGATTGAAATCTTTATAACTCCATCTGAAGACTCAGAAATGTTAGGAAGTATGTATGTTTGAGTTTTTGTTTGAATGCTTCCTGCTACATTTCGTAGTGAAAATGCTCTAATAGTGAGGGGAGAGTCAGAACTTGAGGTTTTGGGTGCAAGAGAGCAGCTACTTTTGTGGTCTCTGAGGCTGGGATCCAGCTAGTAGACAGCGTTTGCTGTCCCAGGGACATGAGAACAACACGCATTATTGATTCCATGCTCCGTCTATCTGGGTATCAGACGATACTTCACAAAGGTGGGGTAGGTAGCTGCCTGTGACGGCTACAGAAATCCTGCTGTAGGGCTTCCCCATGCTGTGACTCAGCACCTGAAGATGATGCCTTCCAGAGCTGCTCCCAGATAACAGCTCGGTAATAATTTCTTGGCGTTTACTTGCCATGAAAACAAATGAACAGCGCAAACCTTTTTATCTTTTATCTAAATGTACAACTCACACGTTTTAACGAGGATCCGTCTGTAACATAAATCAGCTGTATCTTACAGTTCCTTACGAGGGAGGGCAAATATGACTTTAGGTTTTCAATACCCAGCACAGTGTGTAACAGGCACTCAACTCAAGGATACAATCCAGAACTTCCAGTTCTGAAGGGTACGGCTCTGCACGTATTCATTGAACTTGTCTTGCATGTGGTCTAAGCGATTCCGTCTCATGGGCACGCCTGTCGCAGGCAGCTGCTCCTGACACAAGCTGTTGGAAAGCAAGGAGAGGAGACAAGAGAGTGGGTGTCAGGGCTACTTTTACACATGGTGAGACAGATGGGATGCAGACAACTCTTTAATGTACTTAATGGAAGTGTTGAGCTCTTCGATCTCCTCTCGTAGTCTCCTCACTTCCTCCTGCATCTGATGCCTCTCCTGCTGAAGCTTCCCGATGTGCTCCACTGTCTTCTGTAGTGTCACCGCATTAGTTATCTAAAGGCAGAAAAGGGAATACATGATTGCTCAAATAAGTATTACAAATGTATGCTGTTTATTTCACACACAACTTTACTCACAAACTTACATTTGATTGCGATTTCAAAGTCGGCACCAGGTTACAGAGGGTCTTGAAGCCTATATTTATGTTTGAGCGCCTCTTCTGTTCAGCTGATATGTGTGTTGTTCTCCGGCCCTGTCACACAAAAGTGTTCCATACATTACAGAGTGGCATGTCATTTTCTTTCACAAATTAGCCCAGCCCGCAAAAACCAAAGATAAACTCACCTGGCTGTGCTCATTTTTCACCAAAGGTGTACTGGGGCTGCCGATTATTGACTGGGGACTGGGAACTTGATCTAAGCCACAAGGCGATCCTTGACTAGTTCCTGCCTGACTTTGAACTGAATGGAAAAAAATACATACAAGTCATAAAGAAGTAGCTTGGAGGCTTGGAGACTTTAGGAGCTTTGTTTTCACGGTGAATTCTCACCGACATCAGAGGATGTTTTATGATTCTTGCGGACAGAAGAGTATGATTTCTCTTTGGGGACAATTGGCTGAGGAGACTTCTGAGGTAATACGTGAAATCCAGAGGCCTGAGATAAATGTAAAGACACCACATGTGAGGCATGACGCACTGAAATTAGAAATAATCTTTTTTTCATAAATGTTTTCAGAGAGGCAACGGTTAATATTGCCAATGTGTAACTTTTGACTTATAGGAAAAGCAAAATGAAACCATACTGCTCCGAGAGAGGGAGTGATGACCACGCTGGTGTTAGTTGGGACCACTTCAGCTTTCAGGGGTGTGGGTGTAACAATCACAGCATTGGCATGGCCAGAGAAAGGTGCTGTAAGCACATATGTGTATTGAAAACATTTTTAAAAAATGCAACTGAAGGGTTTTCCATTTAAATACCCTTTGTGAGAAATTTAAACTAAATATCGCCTAACTTTTAAATGTCCGTATAAGGAATGTTGCAAATGTTGTTCTATAAAAACAGGTTTTGCATGCAAACACTTATTTTGATTTGGTTAAAAAATGTTGTGTCTATTCGCAACTTTGAAGGTATTATTGACAATTTCTAGACAAATTACTGTAAAGATGCCTTCACCTTATTTCAAACCTTTAATCCAATCTGTGTCTTACATACTCAAAGTACCATTTCTCTGACCTGGAGAAGACTTGGGCGCTACCTTGTGGTAACTAAGTTAAAGTGTTTTAACTTTAAATTCAGCAAACACAGCAAAGGGTGTGCGTTGATAAGAAACCACACACCTGTCAGGATGAGGTGGGAGGAGGGAAGTTTGTTTGCAGGTGCGATTCTTTGCACCGGGCGCACTTTGTTGGCACTGTTGGGCTGAAAAGGACGAGGCAGGGCAAAAGCTGGAACAGGCGGCGTGGTGTTAACTGGAGCCACGGGTTTAAGCTGGGATGGAGGTTTTTGCCGCTGTTTGGATATGGAGCCGTAGTCCGAGATGTGGCTGAAGGTGGTGGCGGTGTCGCTAGGCGTGACGGTGGAGGGGGCCGTGTGTGTAATCACAGAGTTAGCTACATTCTCATCCAGCGCCGAGGAGCTGTCCAAAGCTGAGGGCACCAGGGGGGCTGCCGAGCCCAGGCTCTGGCCTTGAAGGCACTGCGCAAGGGGATCGTGTGATAATGGTGGAGAGACAGAGGAAACAACCGATGGATTGCTAGGCTCCACCTGGTCAGGGAACAGGGGCATGTAGTTCTCTACAAAAGCAGTGCCACTGCCTCCTTGAGTGGGCTGACTGGCGATGGCTGGCAATGAGTGGATAAGTAGGGAGCTGTTGGGGGTGATTTGGTTGCCTGAGAGCTGCAAGGAAGACATTAACTGGGCCTGGATGGGGTGGAAAAAGTAGAGGAAACAGATAAGTTTACAACATTTCTTCAATGCAAAATTAAAACAAAGAGGCGTGGTTACATTTCTGTTCATGTTAGTTGGAAACCATCTGTTTGCTGCTGGTTAATGTGACGATAAGCTGGCTGCCTTACTCAGTGGCAGATCCTGACCCTGCAGATTAACAGCTGTGACTCAGCAGCATTTCAGTACATTTTAGTCTTTGTTCAGGTAACTGATAGCGGGAAAAGAGGTGACAGAAAACACTCATAGAACACAGACAAAACCGTCTGCAAAACGTTTCATTAATATGTTTTTAAAATGACATACAACACAGAGGTTTTACAAACTTCTCCAAAACGAGGATACAGGATCCAAAAAAAGAAAAAGAAAAAAAAAAGCTGATGGTTTACTTTGTAATTTATTTTTTTATGTATGGCATGTGAGAATCCAACAGGTCTACTATATTTTAACCTAAAAGCCACACATGGATCTAGAAGTGTTTATGAACCCAAAAATAAACTCAGAAAATAAAAGTCATACTTTTACCAAATCGTGTCTGCATAAAGTACATAATGAGGGGGACAATGCCAAATGCCTGGCTAGTTTTCAATAAGATTCACCAACACTTTGTTATATATCCGTAACAAAAAGGGTGGCATGACAGAAGGCCTTAAAAGCCATAATACTATAAATACTAGATCTATCACAGGAGTAGACGTGCTTGCTGGTGTACTGGTGGAGTGTGTTAGGGACTGAGCCTTGGGACGGTGTTTACCTGTGACTGAGAGCTGCTGCTTGGTAGAGGAGTGACAGATGATGCAGTGGGGGAAACAGAGGGGAAGGCGGGCTGACGGAGGCTGTGAAATAAGTCTGGAACAAGAGTCTCTATGTTAGCTAGAGGTTAGTAAAACCACGCTACTTTCCGTGTTAGGCTGAGCCGACTGCTATGGCAGCGTTACCAGAATGTGTGCGCATCAGTGTGCACTATTAGTTTGGGTGCCCAGCTACTGTGACTATAGGTGGTGCCTTGCAGCTACCTTGGAGCGGATCAAAGGAGTCCATGAAGTCGAGGTTGGGTTGTAAGGGGATGAGCCCGGGTTGGATCATGTCTGCGTTGCCAGCATGAGCTGTGAAAGAAAGGGGGGAGGAGAGTTTTTATAACAAGCTAAAAAAAAAAAAAAAAAAAAAAAGGATTTTAGTTAACCACTGTTTTAGCCTTTGCTTGATCAAGTTCTAAATGAGTGAGACGTTGAGAGTCGAGCATGCATTTCTCACCAATTTCCCTTGGGTTAGGCCAAGCAATGGGTTGATGCGAGGCCAGCGTAGAAAATAATGTGTCTGAAAACTCAGACATCAGAACATCCATGTCAAAAAGGGGGTCCATCTCCATGGGGGCAGGTGTTTCGTAATGTTTACGAGCCACACGGCGTGCAGCAGCCTCTTCATCCTGATAAAAGGAGACACGGAGCATGTCTGGAGAGACTTCTCCAAACAGCGATAACTGCTCCTCGGGACCCTTTGAGTATTCAAAAATGCAACGACCAAGCGGGTTAATGTCACACAAGCATGCAGTGTTGCGCACAGCCAAAAAAACAACAACACTGAAATTAACACGGCTCATGGGCCCATATCATAAATATTTCCTTATCTAGCCATGAGATACAAAGTTTTTGAATGTTAAGTAAAAATCTTTATCCGTAAAATCAACAGTGAGACATTTGACTGCTCTCAAATTTATTATTAATCTATTATTTCATATATGTAGCTCTGCTCAAAAATAAATCTCTACAATAACAACATACATGAAGAGCTTAAAATGTGTCGGATAGCAGATTTAGAAATAATCTCCACTCAAAGGAAGAACCTAGAAATATAAAATGACTCCTGTGGGGGCTGGACGTGCACATGTTTCTGTAAACACCTTCCAAAAAAGGTATGCCAGTCCTTTCAGAATAACATGCAAGGCATGAGATCACAAACTGAAAATGGATCAGAGGATGTTCTGAAAGCCAGTTTTATGGGGATTTAAATGCCAGAGTGGTTTGGTTGAAGGATGAGGAAGAGACAACTTTATATATTTCAAACCAAAATGCTTCTTTTAATTTGTTTATGGTCCCATAAAACGATGAGATGCTTACATAAGACTACCAGAAAAGCTTTAAACTTGGGTACGTTCCGAGAACTGCTGCACATTGCAGTGAGACTACACAAAAGCCTCTTTCAGACATCCACTACTTTATGTTAAGTCAAAGTCTGGTCTTTTTTAATCTACCAAAAAGAAACGTTGGGTTATCTAATGTAAACCATGGTTATTTCATTACAGAGTGAGGTGTTTCACTATGGGAATTGCCTTGGCATGACAGTGACATCACGTCTCTCAGTGGCAGACAGGTCGAGCCGCCTTCAGGGCTCCGCCCCCTCATACTGGTACGGCCAACCTGCCCCTCCCTGCGCTTTCTAGGCAGAATTCTTTATGTGCCTATGCAAGAAGGGATGTGTTGGTGAAACACCTCACGCTGTTATCTAAGAATCGGGGTTTACATTTTCTAACTTTTCTCTGTGTTTCACTGTGGGAGATGTGGACCACTGCCGGATTGAGAGATGTCTGAAATCGTGAGCAGCAGTGACAGGGAAGGAACTCACACTGGACCTCAAGTCCCCACTTCTATTACCGTGTGAGCCAGTGATGGCTTGGCCACATCTAGACACATCTAGATCTATATTAGCATCTAGTTAAACAGACGCTGGTTCTGATTAGCATTCTGAGAACACAGGCACTTAGGTGAATAGACCATCATGGAGTTTAGCATACCTTAAGTAAGCTTGATAGATCCTCATCTTTGTGCTTCTGTAGCTATAAAAAGAGCGTGCTACATTAGATGAGCAATGTTATTGGCAAAAATAAAGCAAAGAGAAAAGGAAATGGCCATTAAATTACCAGTATTCCCCAGTTTAATTATTCATAGGAAACTGAACAATGCATTACCCTTTTCTTAAAGTATGTTCTCCACTTGTGGTATTCTCTTATGACAATTTCAATTCTTCTTTTTAAGCCTTTCCCTTCTGTGGCAACAGCCTGCAAAAGAAAAGCAGAGACAGGAAATAAGATCACACTGAGGAAGGAAGCAGCAAAGGAAACTGGACAAAGTGATTGGCAAGTTGATTTTGGTCATGAGAAAATGGACATTTTCTGTTAATGTGGGTCAACCTCAGACTAACCTCTGCAGGACGATGGACATCAGAGTCGATGTTTCCATCCAGGGGTGTTACAAAGTGACATACAGGATTCTCCCTTCTTTCCACATCTAAGACGCAAAGAGAAAAATTAACAGTCCAAATTTAAAGTTTGGGATCTTAAAAAAAACAAAACAAACAAAAGGCATCACATTGTTCACAGCAGGCCTTACAGCTAATGCCCAGCTTTGCTCAGTTTTTGTGCCAAACATTAACTTAGTCAGTGGCATAATAAACAAACCACCACCAGACCAATCAAGTTTCAAAGTGTTAGGAAAAATACCCCATGTTTATAACCTAAATAAACAGAAGCCAACCCTTTAGTTCCTGATCTTACACATATTGTTGACTGTATTCAACATAAAGACAATATGAGGGAAGAAACAGTCTTACAGAGCCTGAAATATCAAGGTAATAACTCATTAAAAACGACTTCATCACAATGAAGATTTAAAATAAATGCTGAGTACTAAAACAACCCAGAGAAGACAGATGTAGAACTCTTACACTGCATATACCAGGCTCTCCATATGGCGTTGTTGAGGCGGATCTTGTCTCTCCAGAGTAACTTCAGACCTTTGAAGTTTTTCCACTTGGGAGATACCAACTTACCACTGCAAAAGATAAGAAAGTCATTTCTTGTGTGATGGAAGACTTGAAGTAGTCTGGTTTAAGCAAATTGAACATCAGCAAACTGAAAATCACAGTGAAATAAGAACGTAGGAATCCAGCTGCATGTCAAAAAATTAGTTGGAGTTTGCATAATTCATAGAAAAAAAGATTGCTAAAAGATAACCTGGCAAAGTTGTTGATAACCTACTCATTTTTAATGACTCCTAGAATACATGAGGGTTTCCTTGTACATCCTTTGACCTGTTAAACAGTACTTTTGAGTTTTTTTTCCATCCATCACATCTCTTTTCAGGCTTATATTTATTAATACGATTAGTGCTCTCCTTTATGTGAATAAAGGAGACAAGGAGAAAAGCTCAGAAATCTTTGTCAGATCATGACATATATTATCCTTAAATTTAATTCAACAACTTCTAAACCTAACATAAACCCCGGCACATCGTGGTGACCCATAGCCTGAATACTTAAGTAAGATTCCCGCCTTGTGTAGAGCTGCGAAGGCATCCATCCGTCAGTAAAAAACAATGTCTAAAAGCAGTTGCACAGTTAAAGACTGACTGTTATTTGTTCCTCGTCATAGTCTGAGTAGCATGGAGTGAAAGTGGACTCATCAATGTGCGCAGGCATGCTTTCAGGACTGGAGATCAGAGATAAAGGTTCAAAGACAAAGCACAAACAGCCACTATCAGACAACATCAACAAGAAAAGCTGTTCTACTACAGACAGAAGCTCAGAGAACCTAAAAGCATGCCAGTCAAAATGCAGTCTGAGCAGTGTTGGAAACATTGTTCAGATGAAATGGAGAGTAGAAAGTAGACTGAAAGCTGGAAAAACTGCACAGACAGGACAACATTCACCACAGTACATAGTGGTTTGATCACAGTTTGCCCCTTTCTACCCCAACCGTTCTTATCCGGACAACCTGTCAAATCCTTTCTAGATATAACTTGACAAAATGTAAGAGTTCACACACCCAGCGAGCAAAACTGTGCGACCCTCAGTGAGCGTAACTCCTTTTAAAAATGGGTAGACACTGTGCATTGGTGCCTCAAAGGAGGACACATAACTTTTGAGGTCTACTTGCATAAATATTAGTATTTTCATAGGATGAATGACAACAACAGAACAGTAACTGCTCTATTAATAGCCCCTCCGTGAGTTAAACTGGGTGTGAAGTCAGAGGGAATCCTCAGGGCAGCTGGCGCTGGTCCCACAAACACTGAGGCTGTAAATAGAGAAACCTGAGTAAGTTGAACCGTACTTATTTCCCTTAACTTTTACTCTCTTCTAATATCTACTGCACCTTTAGATGAGTAGTTTTGTTAATAAGTCATTTATAACACTGCTTTTACGTAGTCTTAACTAATGTTATATTCTGGTTAGAGGCACACGGACTGTGGCTCACTGTGAAAGTTTTTATGCCCGTCGGCGTGCATCCTGTCTGTTTATTTCACAAACCCAGTTCTAAAAAGAACAGACAAATGTGGAACATTTTTAACACTAAAGAACATAAAAACTTGCAAAAACCGCTGGAAAAATCTGTCAAAAATGAAACATTGTAGGGTTTAATGAAAGCCACATGTATCAAAGAAGATAGGACAGAGCAAAATGCCTTTTGCTCTTTACCATAAAACATCAGACGGCACTGCATTAAAAAAAGGACGGATTCAGATGGGACACTCCCACCATCTGTAAGCACAGCTCACTCTGCCACACTCACTTCAACAGTTTTATCGTGCAAAGATGAAGCGCTGAGATCGATGATCCAGAAACACAACCCCCTTCTGTTGGGGCAATACTCATTTTAAACAGACTGAGAGAGACGGAGTGGGGAAATTGCCCAGAAATTAAATGTAGGAATCATGGAGGCTGTCCCTTCAAAACTGAAGAAACCATCCAGGCTGATAGAAGTGCTCACTTCACCAGCCTGCATCTCTCACTGGCACATCTGTGAAGGTACCATTGATCCTGAACGCTGTACATCAACAGTTTTAGAGTCTCAAATGAAGCCAATGACATTCCGTATTTTCGGGGAAGGCCTTGAATTATTGAGCGTGACAACGATCAAGTGCGTGATGCATCTTTTACAACAGCATGTCGTTACAGTGGAAAAGCCCGGTTGCTGGACCGGTCAGCCGGCAGACCAGGTCCTTCACCAACAAAAGTCAAGTTAGTGAAGTTGAGTATGGAAATGTGTTCCAGTACAACTCAGGATGCTGGTGAGCAGATGGAAAGGAGACAATATTCCTCTCTGAGAGGTCTTGCAACCACTCTCAATTCTAGATGTTTACAGGCTGTTTCTAAAAGAAGAGAAGGTGATACACGGACACAAGAATGTCCCAACTTTTCCTGCCATTAAACTCAGGATGAAATATCCTTATGGGATAAGAAAATGTCACAACAAACAAACCTTTAAGGAACTGGGGCTGTAAACCTGAGGCTGTATTTCTTTTATGATGAAAAACAAAATAATAAGTGGTTGACTTCGGTTACTTAGTAGCTCAGCGCAATAACGGTAGAGAAGGACTAGCAGCTCACAATTCACAATGTGTTGCAATTCAGTTTGTCTCAGGATGACTGTCTGATTAAAAAGTGACTTCACAGGTCTGTATCTGTAGCCTCGGGTGTTTACACAGCTCCCTCTGGCTTTTGACTTCTCATGAGAGAATGACTCCACACAGACACAGTCTGATAAAGCCTTGCACAAAATGATCACAGGAAAGAAGAGCCCTTATTCCTTGCAAATGAGATGCATTTGTCAATGATGTTGGCATACTTGAGCACAGGACTCTGCGGATTGGGGGCCTGCTCCACTAACAAAAAAAAGACAGAGCAGGAAGTTGCAAAAATGAGACTCGTGACTGCAATTTCACTGCACATCCCACAGTCACATGTCTGACCTGGACACAGAGACGAGCCTGACATGACCTGTGGGCCAAAACTGAAAGTGCTGTTCCCACGTGAATGCCCAGTAACGGCACGCGCTATAACTCACCTATAAGCGAGGGTCATGCACTCGAAGAGCTTAGTCAGGGAGGCGTCAATGGAGAAGTGCGACGTGCTCCTTTTGCCAAAATGATACGTCTGACAGGTCTGTTTGTTGACAGTGTCGAAGTCGTAGCCCTTTTTCGGGGGGTGTTCGCTGTGGGGCGAAGAGACCATAAAGTGCCCGCTGTGGATGATCTGAGACTCCAGCCCGTCCGCCTTCCGCAGCCCCAGGTTGGCCTCGTCCGCGTCCGAGTCGTCGTCCTGCTCCTGCTTTATGGTGGCCGACGGGCCCCGGTAAGTCTGCCGAAGACACAGCTCCCTGGTAGCCATGTCGGTAACTCTCCAGACAAATAGCTAACGTTAGCCAGCGAGCTAGGACAATAAAACTCTCCCTTTCATGGAATCGCCAACGGCGCTGAGAGACGCGTTTGAGTCCAGCTATAAAAGTTTGCCAACTCCGTGCCATGGAGTCAGAGTGCTCAGTTCGGCCATGCTAAAAGTTTGCTGTGGGCCATTTACGGCCCAAGTTCACTTGTTGTTATCTTGACGTATCTTCAAGCCCCTCTGACCAGCTGACATAAAGCAGCTCCTCTGTGCCTGAAGCAGGAAGTTCCTGTTTTAAAACGTTTCTGATTGGTCAGAGTCAGAGCCCCACCCACCAAGGAGCCGAAAATAAACGGATACGCGGCGCATCAAGACAGCTGCAGGGGGAATTCTGCAACTGAACATTTAGAGGAAAACTCCCATGTAAATTTAATGAAAACCAAAAAAACCCCCTACAATTTCTTCAAATCTTCGCAGGATTAGGAGTAAGTAGTTAGGAGTAATACGTGAGACACCATGAAGTAAGACATGCGTTTATCAGGATTAGACTTTTGTCACTTTGACAAATATCACAAATAACTGGGCAAAAATCACCTGAAAAAAACACATGCAGATTATGTGCTCTATTATTAATCAATCTTCAATATTTTACATTTGAGTTCTAAAAATAAATGATTGATTTCAGGTAGTCAAAGTTTATTGGTGCATCTGTTTTCTTGATTCAGTCATTTAATTATTTTCAAAGTTTTATAATGAATCGAGAGGTAGTCATGGTTAATGACAATGTTGAATGACTTGTATACACTAACTGACCACATTTCATAGAAATCTGACAATTCATTTTTACTTTAATAAGATACATATCACTTTAATATTCAAATGTATATCTTTTATTTGTTATCACTGTAAAGCTTCACATTTACAGCCTAACTGGCAGGCCTTGGCTTTCATTACTCTGGAGATGAAGACCTGACAGTCGGCTCTAAGAAAGACGGCAATCCAAGGATATGACCTGTGAAAGTCTCCATCGACATTTCCTCAGGGATTGCACCCTCCAGTGAAGAGTCTGAATCCTCACCTGTGAGCAGATATCAAATGTTATGTTTGTAATTATGCACGTTGGTACCATGAGTTTAAGTAGATTTTTTTGTTCTTTCATAATTTATATGCTCACAAAGTGCTGTCGCTTCTTCTTCCCCTTCCCCTTCCTCATCATTGAGGCCTAAAAGTGAGGTGAAACATTCTGCTACCTCTTCCTCTGTCATGTGCTCCCCTGTCATAATACAGACATTACATGCTGTAATAACAGTGAGGCTTTTTCTCAATCAGTGTCACAACATCATAAATGTAACCATGTTGTTCTGCTGACTCAGGGGCCTGTGTACTACCTCGAACTTGCAGAAGTTCCAGCAGCTCCTGTCTCGGCAGAACAAGCTGTCCTGCACTGTCGCTGCGACCGAGGACTTGAAATGCTTGGAGAAGTTCACTGCTAGAGATGCCAAAAGCCGGTCGGTGGTTGACATACAGCCTGATAAACTCCTCCAGATCAACGTCGGTCACATAGTTTCCCGTTTCAGCATATTTGCTGAACTTGACCTCATTTTGCATGTCTTCTATCTGGTAGATGTAACATGTGTAACTGTTAATTCAGTTCTTATGTTTCCAACTTATTTTCTTTTTTGTCCACTGTACCTCTTGTGCGGTGGGAAAGTAGCCAAGGGCTCTCATTAGAAAGGGAACCTCGGATAGAGGAATTCTGGTGGGCACCTGCCGTTTCTTGGTCAAGTTGGTGCCATGATGACGAATTAAACAGTAGTAGAAAAAGTCCTCAATCTCCTAAAGAAACATGAACTCAGAACAATGACAATCTGTGTTAAAATTAGTCTGCAAATGATAGTATAAAAGTTTTAGCCAGGGAGGAACATCCACTCATATCTTTACCCAGTGTACGTATATAATTTCAATATTCAATATAGTGCATCTCTAAATGTGAGCATTTATATAACTTATAAGTTATATATGTTTAAATGTTGAATTTTGCATTACTTCTTTTCTAAAGAAATAATTTAACTTTGAAGTACATGTAACAAACATCAGTGGAAGCTGAGCGTCATGCTAAAAATAAATAATTAATGTTTTAGCAAGGACATTTGTATCAAACCAACTCAATCCAAAATTGTAAAACTAAATATGATAAACTAAACATAGTCATATAAACCACAACAGTAGTGTACAAACTGATTGGAAAGATCAGGTAAAGTTTTAACCTACCCTGAAAAACTTTCCATCTCTACCTCCATCAATAAGAGAGTAAAAGGGCACGATATCCTTTCCACCCATGGCAACTGCTGCTTCCATCACACTGTATGAAGCATGGAAGGAAGGCCAATTTCAGAACCATCAAAGCCCTGATCAGGTATTTCCCATGTTCCCAGGTTTGTACAGGAAAGCCTTACTTTAAATTAATTTCCCATGAGATGACACTACAGTCAGAACCTCCAGCAGTAAAAACCAATCGCCCGTCGTAGGAGCAGGCAAGGGTAGACGCCCCGGTCGGATGGCATATCAAAGCACAGGACTTATAGGGGTTCCCATCCAAAGGCAAAATCTGGAGACCAACCTGCAGCATATAGTACCCCTCTTAATGAATGAATGAATAGATATAGAGAGATAATACTATCAGCTGAACATTAATGACAGACATCAGGTTGAACAGTGCATTAAATAAGTAACTTAAAAAGGTAAAAAAATAAAGTGTAAATCCATCTATTGTGTTATAAAATACTCCTACAAGCAACTTCTAACACTGACCTTATCCTCTGTGATGTATGACAGTTGATATGAGCTTATCGCAGGGTCTTTAGACTTGGGAAGGACCACTATTTGCTTAACGGGAGAGCCATACGTTGGCCCAAGGAGAGTCTTCCTGTTTTTGTAGACCACGTGTTAGACAGACATAATATTACGTCCCAGTTGTGTTACATAATAACTGTAAGTATCTGATCTTGCTAAAGAACTTTGCTGACCTGCACATCTTGGTTGTGCTGTTGAAAAGTTTCATCTTATATTGGTCTGATGCAACAAGAAGGAATTGTTCTGTTGTAAGAGGAGGATACCAAGTCATGCACAGCGGCACAGCACTCTGCTCAATGCGCTCTGAGCTGACGACATGAAGCTGGTTCACAACACTCTTTTCCAGGTCATACTCCACCTATTGTTCGGTGGCACATACATTGATAAATAAAACGAGTGGGTGTGAGTAAAACCAAAAAAACATAAAAGTACAGTGAAAACTGTTTTTCAAAACAGAAAAATGTACAAATTAAACTAACTAGTCTGCGATCCTTTCCTAGAGAAAGCAGTCTGGCTTGAGTGCTGTCCAGATGGACCCCAAAGAGAAGGTCTGAGATGGGCTTGTAGTGAGAGCAATGTCTGCCCAGATACATCCAGCGAGGCAAAGAGTCTTTACTACTCTGCAAGTGGAACACTGTCACTGCTTTGCCAGCATCCTAACAATGAATGTAAACAGAAAAGGTAATGATACAAATGTGGTTATCAAAGAATGAACAGATAATGGGAGAGCTTTTCGGTGATGTGGGGCCATTTGTCAAATGTGTCTGATCAGCTGAATCAGTCAAGGGTTGTGTAATATTTTTTGGATTGTTTACTGCCAGGCATTAATTTATCATTGGAAGTGGAGCCTATACCAGATGTCATTGGGTGGGAGGTGGGGAGACATATCTCAATAATGTGCTCACCGCAGTGGCAAGGTACTGTGAGTCTGAGGAGAAGGTGATTAGATGGATGCGGTCTTTAGTGTAGTGGAAACATTCCTCTGGAAGACTCTGCAAAGTCTGAGCATTTAGTATGTGAACAGCTCCACTCCCGAAGCCAACTGCCATGTAAAATCCTGTTTGGAGAAAAAAAAAGTTACTAACAAATTCATACAATAAGAAGAAAACACTTAGTGGAACATTTAACAAACAGACTGGTTCACCTTTAGGATCAAAAGTGATACACTGGATGTCCCGCTCTGTGTCAAAAGCCCTGCTAACAATGACTGCTTTGTTGTTATAATCCCATAATTTTAAAAAGCCTTGCTGGTTGCCCATGGCCACAGCGGGCTGACTGGGGTGACATGCCAACGCACAGAGAGGTTCATAATTCTCATGCAGGAGGGTCTGAGAGGTGCCACTCTGTGTATTCACGTGCACCACTTTGGCACTGATTGTGGACACTACAAAGTTCCTGCAAAAAAAATGAAAGGTTGGGCAAGCAAAAACTTCACAGCTGATTTTTTTTTTCTTTATAAAAAAAAAAGTTTAGTTTAAAATACGTTAGTCTGCATCATACCTGACAAGTAATGGTTTGGCCTCCAAGGAGCAGTCCTTGATATACCCCTCGGAACACTCTTTAGAAAAAGAGATGGACACAATAGGATCCACGGTCAAGTCACTGTAAGAAGTGAGAACCCTGAATGTTTCGTCATAAAAGTAGATATTGCCCAGCGTATCCCCAGTTACGACACAGCTGTGAGACCAGAGGAGAAAAACATGTAATGATGTAAATACAAGCAAGTAAAAACTGCAACATCACCTACAAATATTTCTGGCTCTTATTACCTATCGGCTACAGTTAGAATTGTGATTGGGTGTTCCTGAATCTGGTGGAACTTCACTTTTTCAGCTGGCAGGGACTGGTTTTTGATTAAGTCTTCTCGGATGTCCCACAACAAAACGCTGCCCAGGATAGCTGTTAGGATCTTCGGCTTTATCCAGTGAAATGCTGACTGACTGCGAGACATGTGAGTAATGCTGACAGACTTCGGAGGATCAGGACTTTGCTGACTACACACAGCTGCCCATTTGGCTTCATCATTGAACTGCAATGAACAGATGCAGAGTTTTTTAAAATACTCAGATCCATAAAAGACGCAGATATTGCAGAGGTTTCCTCTCTCATCTACCTTCTTGAGCTTTAGTGCAAAGTACTGGAGACATTCCTTTGTCTGAAAAGAGAGAAACTATTTAATCAATTATCTTACCTTACATCTATGTAATGTTTTTAATACTGATAAAAGGAACAGCTGAATTTACCCTTCTGTAGAATAAAACATGACTTTTACTGCCACTGAGGAGCTGAGTGCTGTCGTTTGGTTTAAAAATGATGTAATCCTGAAAAATATTTGTAAAAATTGTGTACTGGATCCCCATAGTATCCTCAAAAAAGGCAACATTTTCAAATCTTAAATATAAACTAATGACCACTGACTTGAAAACCAATTCCAGGCTCGAGTTGGGTGCTACAGAAGGGTTCTTGTGCTTCACTGGTCCAATCCCAAATGCACACACACTGAAAAGAGTAAAAAATGGATAATGATTTGACGTAATGATTTGTTATGTCAAATCAAAAAGCTGTGGTGGAAACTTTATTTTGAACTAAAGTGAGGGAAATATGGATAAATCTTCTTTATTGAACCATTATCATGAATGGAAATATAAAAAATAGATTGACTTAATTTCCCTATCACTGACTAAAAGACCAAAAGTAGAAAAAAGTTAATACTACAACTCATATAGAGTGATATTTATTGTGTGGTCACTGTCATACTCACTTGATCCTCTTCATTTCCGAGGGTTGCCAGATATTTTCCATCACTTGAAAATGTCATTGTCTTGACACCTCCATCACCGTGGCAATCAAAAAATGTCTTAACAGGAATACTGGTGGATTCGTAGGCACAAACATGGATGTCACTAAGTGTATGATTACGTACATAGACACGTTGAAGTATGCAGAATGAGTAGCTACCCAGAGTAGGAGTCCCATATCAACACCATACTCTGCGTCCCATGATCTGCTGTTGCAATCCAGCGCTTATCTTCAGTGACACACATAGATGAGATGGGGTGGGAGTGACCCTGAAAACATGAAGGGTTACACACAGCGGGATACTTAAAATGAGGAATGCCATATGAACAGCTTTAATCAAAAATGTAAAAATGGCTCCAAATGTTTTGTTTTTATAGGTAAAAAAAAGCTAATTGACTATTTTTGTTTTTTTCAGGTTTTTCTATAATGAGCACACAAACTGGATGGATCCCATTTGCTCCTTAGAACTTTGTTAATCCAACAGCACAATATTTTGATACTGAAAGCTGCCTTATAACTGCCCATAAACTATTAGTCTAAACTGGCTGAGCACAGGCCAGGACACTCACAGATTTCTTTTCTTGAAGCAGTTACTCAAAGTTTTAAAGAGAGCTTAGAGGTCATTATAATGAAGCCCAAGGGAAGAAAGATTACAGTCTAACGACTAAATTTCCCTAGCAACACTGTATCAATATCTGTCCTTTTCAACTCCTTCTCTTCTATATTCTCTATATTCTCTCCTTCTATGTTAAATGTAGAAATATCAAAGAAATTCCAGGACAGAATAATGGGACTAATTTATATGCATTTGGATAACTTTTATCATGCCGTCTTCACTTCACGTGTCAAAACTTTGCATTTGTATTTTCTTAAATCCTTGAATATATAATTACTTTCATATTTACATATAATATGATGAATTGTGAATGCCATTACTATCTTTCAGACCCCACCCTGAACATCAATCTTAAGCGTATTTTACCCGAAGTATGTGTTGGATGTTTGAGGTCTGATTGTATATGATCCCAACGTGAGCTCCAGCGTAAAGCACAAGTAGCTGGTCATGGTCTTGCAGACAAAAAACAGGGAGAGTTGGATTCATCCCAAAAATCCAGTCCAGACGCTGGGTGAGAGAAATGTGAAATATCATAACCTTTTTATCTTGGAAATGCAATATTATTATTGACAGCTATTGCAGAGATAAAATGAACAAATTCACATATTAGCATAATTTATGTTGAAAAGGCCATACTAACCAGAGGATGGTTACTGGGAGGAGTTGTTTTCTTTGAGAAAATACTCTCTTTAGTTGCAGTGTACACCTGAGACTGTCCGGTTGTCTTCTGCTTGTCAGGATCATTTCCTTCATCTTCAGCTGATGACTGGCTATCCGGTATTTGTCCCACATGTTGCTGATTTTCTGATTGGTTGCTCATGGATGGCTCATTTGGCTTGGCTTTAGTATCTGACATGATGTCCAGAAAAAGTTCGGTTCTTTTACAAAGGCTCTAACTTTGTCAACTTAAATCAACACTAAAGCAGCGTATTTAAAAGTTAGAGTCCAAATCATCTCCTATCAGAGCTCAATTCAATAAAGACGAAATATTTCTTTAGCGTATTGCTCAGAAGCCGTCAGTATTGTGTGAAGTTCAGTAGTTTTTGTGTACGCACAGGGTGAGTGCAGCGTTTCGTTGCCTAGTTACCGGTGGGAGAGCAGGAAGTAAGAAATGCACGTGATGAAATTAAAGGTTTCATCAGTAGTTTATTAATGTGACAAAAATACATTTCTTTATACCTTGCGAAACACATTAAAGGCAGATGATATACATAAATTGATTATGGTGTATTTGAATATCTAATGGCTCACCTTTTTTACGTTTCATGTATTAGCATTTAGAATGAAATAAATATCTACGTATGTGCAAGTTGTGTTATTCATTAAGTTTCTAAGATTTTTGGAGACCGTGCACGATCATAGCTTTGTTTGTAGGAAAATAAATCTTGTAAGGTGAAGGAGGCATTTGAAACCATAGACATTTGAAACGGTCCATCTCCGGTGATCGTGCTCTTGCTTTGAAAGGTTGATTTCGCTGGCGTACTTCCTACGTATTTCCGGGTTTACCAGGTTTGTGGAAACGCCAAAGTTTTCTTTCCATGTCATCAACATTTTTTTTATGTATAGATTTTCTTCCCTCAGAGTGTTGTACATTTTTTTCGTTTCGATGTCTGAGGGTTTGTGTCTTACCTTGAGCTAATTATGAAGCCTTTATGACCTCAGACTGAAGAAACACACCGACAAGAAAGCAGATAACTCCTGACATGGTTTCATCCGCTTGCTGACTGACAGGTGAAACGGATTTAGTTATGTTTGGAAACATTTTAACGACTGAATCAATAACTGAATTGTCGCTACGTGTTGTGCCATGGTTGTTGTCTCCAACTCTCTCAGTTTAAAGTCATCCGCCTCGGCTTTACGGAGATTAGCTACCAGCTAGCGCCTGCTCTCATAACCTGAGTTTTACTTTGCGTGGGATTTTATGATACTCAAGAGTCGATCAAAGCAGCTCAAATGTCACGGATTTAATTTTTTTATTTAGTGAAATATAGTGGGGAAAGTCAATTTAAACTTTAAAACTATTTGCAATTCCACTTGAGGCTGACGTTGTCAATATCTCAGATTTAAAATAATTAAGCTATTTTATTTCTGCTTTGAAACATTAAACCCATAAAACACTACACATTTAGGTGGGTTTTAAGGTAGAGTTGTTAATTATGAGCATGGTATTTGAACAGGAGCCTATAAAGATTCTTGAAGTACCTGACAAGTTATTTATATCAGCCTACAATTGTGAGAGTGTTTCAGCATCCTTCAGGGGCATTAACTGAACAAACTTTGCTCTCCAAAGACTGGTAATGAGACTCAGATAGAGTTTCTCCTTAAAAAAAAAAGTAACCTTATATATCAAGTGTCAATAGTAGATCGGAATTGTAATGAATTTTTACTTTAAAAGTTCAGTATCATTTTCTGAATGATATAGAACCCACCTCTCTTTAATGATTTAAATAGCTTACTGTCATGTCCACCAGCAGGACTTTATGAGAGAGCACTACAATGTGGACTGACAAACAAAGAGGAATCAGAGTTTCTCAGGAGCAGCTGCTCTGCAAGAACTCCTGTGGGTACTATGGAAATCCTGCGTGGCAGGGCTTCTGCTCCAAGTGCTGGAGAGAGAAATCACGTCCATCTGGACCACCAAGAGAAGACACAAGGTAGAGCTACGAGACATTTTTGGTGCTTTTGGATGAAGTTGACAGATGTATTCTGGACAGCAATAGGTGTCTATTGTTACCACAGAACATTAGGCGGCTTATGAGCTTTGAATTGAAAATTGGTTTTGGGTTGAATGCCTAAACCTGCCAATCCTTTTTAGACCGAGCAGTGACGGAGTACCGCCCACATTCTCCAAATTTGAGGAAAAGAAAAACATAGAGAAAGGACGTCGAATTAACACTGTGAGGAGACTCTTCTGGGGGGGCTCGTCACCTACAAAACCTCAAGGTAGGGAAGTTTTAGTTGTTTTTACATACTTGTTGTCAGCTCCATCATATCAGAAGTGTTCTTTTTGTCATACCTGTAACCCTGTTGGGCTTGGATTCAAGTTCATTTGTTTAAGAAATTACAAAGTTAAATGTCACTTGGTGACAGTTTTTGCAAGAAAAGCAAACATAGTCCTTAAAAGGAAGATGAAGAATTGTCCTGAGGCCTGTCACAAGAACTGTAAAAGTCAGATGATGAAAGCAGAAAGCAGTTTTTGTTTTTCCCCCTCTGCCACAAACCAGGCTACTTTAGCTGAACTGTTTCATGAGACAAAGTCCAACTATATAACTGGAATCAGCTGACAGCCCACTAGCACATGGTTTTTAGTTTCATTTATGTCATAACAAAGTGAGTTCTTCATTCATTTCTTGTTGAGCAGATAGGCTTTGGTGTGCGTAGTTTACCAGATCAAATCCAGTCTATAGGCTGTTCGGCTGGTCCAACATGGTTTATTTATTTGCAACAAATCTGCTGTCTGTGCCTATAGAATCCTCTGAGAGCCATGCAGAAGTGTTAAAGGCTTTCCAGAACCTTGAGCCTGGGGACTTCACTGGTTTCCTGAAGATACTGCGGAGCCCGCTCTCCCAGCGGTTACAGTCTCGCTGTACAGCTTTTCTCAACACGATGGAGGCTTACCATGTAACTGTCTGCTTAAATTGTCACACTTTTGAAGCTTCTTTTTAAGTCAAATCCTGACTGCGGATTAATTCTGTCCTAACAGGATCTGCCAGTACAGAAGCAGTCAGATCTTGTGCAAGATTTCTACCAGTCTTTTTCCGAATATTTTAAAAGTGAGTACAGATGAGATCAGCACATTCCTGCCTGCTTGTTATGAAAGCACCAAAAATGTTGAAAATGTTGTTTTTAGGTTTTCCTGAAGCTCAGGTCACTCAGATAATGGAGCATGTGGAGAAGCTGATAATGACACGGCTGCACAAATGGGTGTTCTGTCACGACAGTTGTGATGATGAACAGAAGGATCTGGCCCTGCAAAGGCGAATACGGTAGCTAAAACTGCTCATTTGAGTCAGCATGTTCCCTGTTATCATGTCCAGTAATCCAAAGTCCTGTTTTTCTCAAATCACTCTGCTCTGCAGCTCCCTAAACTGGGTGACTCCACAAATGCTAGGGGTACCTTTTCCACATGAAAAGACTCCAGTCACAGGGGACCCCTTCCTGCCCGCTATAACAGGTGAACTGAAACCTCTTTTTTTTTTTTAAACTCATTTGCTTTTCTTTGGGGACATGACCAGATCAATACCCTTAATGTACCACCAGTACCTTCAAAGTTGCGGGGAGACTGTTTTGTGGCATGTACGCGGTGCCATATAGGCTGTTTCCTGTGTACAGCTTTTACATTTCCTCTGTATAAACTCATTCCATGTTTCCCATAAACAGGCCCTGTCAGGTCAATTTCTGGAGCTAACCATTGTTGAATATTTCAGGATATTCTGTCTGGATGGATCTGAAATATATATATTTTTTCAAAAACAGCTATAATTGAAATGGATGCCAAACGAGCACCGCAGGACAAGCTCACGTGTGTGTCTAAATGCAGTCAGCACGTCTTTGAAGCGCTTTCGACGTCCAACAGTGAGCCTGCAAATGCTGATGACTTCCTGTCAGGCCTTGTGTATGTGGTGCTGAAGGCCAATCCACCTCGCCTCCACTCCAACATGCAGTACATGATTCGTTTTGGACTCCCCCACAGTCTCATGGCTGGAGAGAGCGGCTACTACTTCACCAACCTGGTAGGTTACCGGCACAATTGGCTGTGCATCACAAAACTGCGTGAATGCTGATTTTAAAAGACTGAATTGTCCCCCATTTCAGTCCTGTGCAGTGGCCTTCATTGAGAAGGTGGACGGCCCAGCGCTCAGCCTCAGTCCTGAAGAGTTCGAGGGCTACATGCTGGGTCAGCGTGCGCCTGCTGTGCTTACCAGGAGACAACAGGTAGCCAATGACACACAGCACCTGTTAGCAGAGCTGCAAGGCAGGCAAGAGAAGCTGCACCAAGAAGTAGACGCTCTCAATTCACAGTTACAAAAGTGGGTCCAAGCGGTTCACTCACAAGTGGACGAGGCAGCCACCAGTTTCTCCAGGGTACAGAAGACGATAACGACACAATCTGAGACCTCACAGGGTGTCTCCTCTTCAGCCCAAGATGCCTCCCAGCAAGAGGATGTTGAAGAGCAGTCCACGCTGGTGCTTGATGATCAACATTAACCACTAAAAGATACAGACTGTTAGCCTTTTTAGTGGAATCTACTACAGTGGTACTTAATCATCAGCACTAACACGTGTAGGACAAGTAAGATTTATCTTCCAATGACATATTTGCACAAGTTACCACGGCCAAGGGAGGGGCTTCATTAGCTAGTTTTATATGAAGAAGTATTTTCTGAAGGAAGCTTTAGGCATGTAGCCTCTCACTTGTAAAGTTTGATAAACTCAAAAAAGTTCAAAATGATTTCCGGATGTACTTCTGAATGAAGGACATTAAATAGAGGGGCCAGATTCTAGGTAATAACTCGGGTGGTCAGACTAGTATTATCCACTCAGGGAACACAGTGCTAGGAGATGCCACAGCTAGCTTAAAGGGTGCTTGTCACACATGATTTTTTTTCCAATAGTGTATACCAATGTGCCTTGAAAACGACCTATGTGAAATAAAAATATGGAGATGGAGGAAAAATGTGAAACATTGAGCACTACAGGTGAGGGTATTTGTTTGTCAGAGCTGTGCAGCTTGGAAAGATGTTTTCCGCGCAGTTTGACACTCAAACAAAATTTTTGGCCTGTGATTGTATAGAAAACGTGTTTACAATTCTGTAAAGGTTTCTGATGAAAATGAAGGTGTAAAATTGTTTAAACAATTATATCCACTAATGTATTAAAAATGATTTATCTGGGTTTTTTTAGTTGTTTCTTCAATTTTGGAATGAAATTACAAATAATGTGTGGACAGGTATGATGTATTAATAGCTGAACACTCAAATGAACAGTGTTGTTGTTGGAGAATGGGTTTCGAATGTGTCATCTTTAAAAATGTTTCTTGTGTGCTTGTGAATGCGTCAGATTGAAATCATTAATTGATCCGAAGAAAATGGTTGTATGAAACTGAAATCCAACGACCAGAGCATATCAGGTCCATGCTTAATGTTCCTTTGGGAATGTGACCCAGAAAAGCTCAAACTGTGGAGTTCAAATTTGTATTTGAAGAGTTTCCCACATCATAGGTGATAGAATGTGACTTTATTGGGAATTCAACTACGAAACAACTTTAAAGTGGATTTTAAATTAGTCAGCAATTAATTTGCCTAACAAGTTAAGTAAAGCAACATAGACTGGACACTTTGACTGATTGAAAAATATGGATCTACGATATCAACATCCCCCTCTTGGGGCAGTGAAAGCAGACTGTGCCGCAAAAAAACACAATAGAAGAAGAACGAAAACAGGAAGAGCTTCTGGAAACAAACGCTTCTCAGTGGCCATGAAGATAACCGGAGAAAGCAACTCTGGAAGCCCCGATATAACAATGGACGACGTGAAAATCCTCATAAAAAGGAAAGACGAAATCGAAGAACAGATAAAAGCGTATTACGACGTCTTAGAAGATGTAAGTTTGTCATTTGCAGCTTTGTTTATGGCGTTTTAACAACCATTCCCACCAAACAGACTTATTTTGTAACAAACAGCAGGGTGTTGGGGTTGAAGGCCCTCTGGTTGACGCCGAGGGTTACCCACGATCAGATGTGAATCTGATCCAGATCAGGACAGCGAGGCACAACATTTCATGTAAGTAGCAGTGTGCTTCTAGACTTTTCCTGCAGAGCCCAGGAATGAATACCGTCTGTCATGTGTTGATCTGTCCACTTTTGACATTTTCTGTAATGTGTTGTGTGATTTGACTAGTAGTTTTTAGGTTTGTAGGTAATTTGGCTATTTTTCTATATGTGTTTATTATGACAAAATCTATGATAAAGTCCACTTTAGAACAGGACACATAACATATTGTCACCTTACTGCAACCAGCTGATGTGTTGGTACATAATACTTCAATATAGGTAAAAGGCACCACTTTTATAGAATGTACAATACAGAAACAAAAACCCATCACAGAACCATAGCATACTGTAATGTCCAAACATTTTGATATTTGGCTTTTGACTATGAAAATCTTAATTTTCATTTAACCATCATTTTGAAAAGAACCCTGTCATTGTGTAATTCAGGCCTGCAAAATGATCACAAGGCCATCATGACGGAGATCGAAGAAGCCCTGCACAAGCTGCACGCTCGAGAGAAAGCCAAGCGACAGCAGGACGAGACCGAAGCCCAGGAGGAGGCCATGGACCTGCAGGTCACCTTGCCCCGGCCCTTTGCGCGAGTGGACGCCGTGACGGAGGGCTCGCCTGCCTCTGGGGCTGTGAGTGAGGCTCGCTGTGCTTTGACGGCATAATAACAAAACCCACTTTTCACTACTTTGATTCTAACATTCGGTTGTTTGCTTTAAAGGGGCTCAGAGTTGGGGATGAAGTCATCGACTTTGGATCCGTGAACACAGAGAACTTCCAGAACCTCCAGAATATTGCAGCTGTGGTGCAACACAGTGAAGGAGTACGTTTAAATGTATTGTGGCAGATGTGTCCTCGTAGTTTTGTTGTGTATTTTTAATCGAATTACTGAAGAAATACGATTCTTTTTCTGAATTTAGGTTAAGTATAATGTCAGGTTTCTTTTTTGTTTTGAGGAAAAACCCAGGATTCTGTTTCGCCGTTCTGTTGTCTGAGTTTACACCAAATATGAACATGCTGTTGGACTTATTATTTTGCCTAAACTGCAGCATTGTGTACTTTTTACAGAAACCATTGCGCATCTCAGTGATCAGAGAGGGTCAGAAAGTTCAGATGAGCCTGACTCCACAGAGATGGTCAGGTCGAGGCCTGCTGGGGTGAGTACACCGGAGGGCAGTCACAGCCACCTGTGGACTGTTCCACCATATGCTGATATTAAGAAATATTAAAACAAAACAAATTTGACACAGTGGAAGTTAAAATGAGATGAATCCAACTTCTTTGCGTGTAGAATGTGAGATTTGATTGTGTTTTGGCCATTTTACTCACAAACCAATTTTTTTTCCCCCTCCTTCAGATGCAACATTGTTCCTGTCCAGCGTTAGATCACAGGACTGTGCAGGATTACAATTTTGGATCCCCTTTCTCCATTTAACTTTGAGTGATTTCCCAGTGATTTTTTTTACATATTTAAAAGCTATTTTCATTTTTGAGTGTCTTATAAAAAGCTTGAAACATTTTCTTGATATGAGCAGTCAAGAATGGAATATTTGAAAATAAAGGATAAGAGCTTTTCTTAAAAAGATGTCATGCTTAATACACAAGAGTTGAATAAAGAGAACTATTCTTTAGTCTCCTATTGAAGGAATGTTTTTCTGGAGGGTTTTCCTCAAGCTGACATGCGCTCAGCAGACACCACAGAAATGCACTTCCCACTAAAACCTCAATCCATCCATTATCGTTACCGCTTATTCCCTAATGGGGTCGCGGGGACTGGAGCCTATCCCAGTGTTCAGTGGGCAAGAGGTGGGGTACACCCTGGACAGTCCGCCAGTCCATCCAAACTCCACAACGAAAGGTCCTGGTTCCCCCGGGGACTCGAACGCTGAACATTCTTGCTGTGAGGCGATGGTGCTAACCACCACACTACCGTGCCACCCTCCATCTTGTGTGTGCATCATGAGTAGATTCATGTGAAAATATGGAGCACTTGTTTAGTTTCCTTGGAATGGCCTGAAGTGATGAACAGATACTGAAAGAGGATCTCTGAACTTATTAAATGGAAACATCCAGGTTAGATCAGGGAATCTTTGTAATTTGATGAAACACTCCAATTTTTCATCACCCACAAAATATTTCCACTTCATTTAATTTAATTGACAGTTTCAATGAAAAAGAAGAGTTTTTAGAAAATTGACACCATGCAGAGTAAAAACAAAAAGTAAAATCTGACAATGTTTAAAAAAAAAAAAAATGTTCTCACTAAATATGCAAGTTTTTCTTAAGAAAAGCATTTTTGTTTGTTACATTTGGTTATCTCTGTTCTGTATTTCTTTGTCTGCACAAACATCAGTACCTTTGCATACATGTGTGATTGAGTTTTTTTATAGTAAAATATTTAGCATAATTAAGTGTCAACCAACTTTCTTAAGTAAATTATTGCTGGGCTATGAGGAAATACTCATCCGGGCACAGTGCATGACCAGGTGGAGGCACAGTTCAGATGGCTCCTCACAGGCAAACCAGACGGCTGTTCCCGATTTATATTGACAAAATGATCTATCACAAAAGAAAACTATATTTACAACATTTTTCTGGAAAAAAAGAATTCAAGCCAGCAGTTTGAGTTTCTTCTTTTTCGGCTTGACCATCTGTGGCAGCTGGATTTTAAAGGCCGTCCTAAAAAGAAAGAGCAGAAATAACAATATAAATCCAATGAACTGGAATAAAACTCATTTTAAATCAGTGTCATACTTTGGCTTACAGATCAGATAACAGACTTACTCGCATGTTGTACAAATGGGGCTGAAGTTGCAGAATACTTGGGAGAGGATGGAAAAAGAAGAAAAAAGGAAAGAGGATCACTACAACAAACAAAACAAGCTGTACCTCTTCACTCATGACGCTGAACTACGGCCATTGTGTTGCATTTGATTCGTGGATCACTCACTTGACAGGCAGACCGAGCACACGTAACCTATTTCGATGAGGTTGCGATGGCAGAAGCAGGCAGCTCTGTAGTCCACGTGTGCGGGCGGCGGCAGCACCAGCTGTGAGCGCTGCTCAGTGTCGGGCAGGAACACCCACTGCGCAAGACACGCCAAGCCGGTGAATTTTCAGGTTTACACCCGCCGTGATCTTTGGAATGTGTCAAACTAAAACTACTCTCACCAAAAGATATTGTGCCAGGGCCACTTTCTGAGGGATCTTCAGGTACAAACCTCCAGTGATATCACAAGCCTGGAAAAAACAAACAGGTCACCACTCTCCTGATGGGAAAAGCGTCCTGTACAATGCACAGAAAATATAAAAAAAGCACCTGCTGAAGGAGCCCAGAGTCTGAGTCCAACACGCAGGCATCTATCAGGATGTTCTGCGTTGAAAAAAATTAAGAGGGGGATTAACTGGAAAATAAAGAAAATCACAACTCAGAGGCTGAGTTTAGAATACAGGGCTGAAAAAGGTTATACCTGCTTTTGAGCTGCAAAAATTACGTTCATGAAGTTCATGTACTGGAGGGAACAGTCATCAGCTGCTTTTATCACCTATCAAATACAAACGATAAAAAGGATGAGCTCAAAGTCAGAGGAGGAAAGCAAAAGCAGTCATGAAACTGGTTTTAGGACTCACCAAAATTCTTGATTTGATCTCCTGTCCGACTGAAAATAAGAAAGGAACAAATAATAAGAAAGACGGCTCAAAACGTACACTGACAAACCCGCAAAAGAAGCATTGAGCCATACTGGTAATTGTGAAAAACATTACCTTCCAGCTCCTTTGAGACCCTGTGAATATCTGGATATTGCAGCTTTAAGGGAAATTAGCTGAACAGCTCAGTCTGGGCCATGGCATCATACAGATAAAAATAATGAAACAACAAAGAAAAAAAATACCCTAGATTAAAATATCACCTACATCCTTCTGGTTTGAGACTTTTAAATGTCTGGTTTAAGTAGGACTAACAAGATTTTTTATTTTATTAGTGCCACGTAAACTTGCACAGTGCATTACTAGGACACCTCAGAAGATGATGTAGGTGGCCAAGAATGTAAATGTAAAAAGCTTTCACAGAAAGGATACAGCAAAGCGCTTTGGCAAGGGAACCGGCCAGCGGACTGTCAGTCAAATTTCCCGTCACTTCAGCTGTAAGAGTATGACAGGTTTTTTGTCTCTCAGTATTCATACATAGTTTTCCATATGATTTCAATCCATAGCATGTACCTACTTTTTGACATAACATTCTTGATCTCATCCGCAATAAAGTTGTTGGCAACAGATAGGAGTTCATATTTTCCATCTCTGCTGGAGGATCCATCATCACCACCACTGTCCACATCCGTCCAGCTCTTACTGGGATACAGGAAGGGACTGAGTAGAAGAGAAAGTGAATGGACCCACACTGAATACATTCAGCACTTTAATCAAATTACAACTGCTAGAAAACAAAAAGATAAAAATTAGAAAAGATGTATTTTTCTCTTAAACTTAGACAAAAAAATAAGGCTCTACGGCTAACACAGTTCTGTTTGTAAGATTATTAAAATACATTAAAGGCACAGCGGCCTAAATGTGCTGTCCATCACTGGAAATCGCTCTGTGAAGTCACCTGTCTGGACCATGGCTGGCAATGACAGCTAGCCTGTTTGTCCTTGTCATGGCCATGTGGGAGTTTCCCATCACCAGGACCGCATCCATACATTTGGATAATGTGAACTGAAAAAAAGACAAGAATTTCGCAAATTTTTCTTTTTTTTCTAACCAAATTTACCAATGTAAGTAGTACTATTAAATTGGGTTGAACATTTGGAAACAGCTACACATTTAAAGTTTCATAACTTACAAAAACTATAGAAAACAATATTATGCATCACATATTCTGTTTTATGCGTTTTTTAAATAGATCTTTCATACTTATGACAAATATAATATAAAGATTAAAAGAAATAATACTTCAGGCTCTCGTTGCGCTTGTTGACCCCACCATATGGGATTTATATCCACGACGATCACCAGCAGATTAATTTCATCCTCTGCAAAGAATATCGATACTCTAATAAATGTAACTTGCAGAAAAATCAAATAAATGACCATGAGCCAACTTAAGGACGTACCTGAAGCCATAAGTGATTCTGTGCGCCAAATCAGGAGGAAAAAAAGTGGTCTCTGCTGCTTTACTTTCTGTTATCTTCCACCATTACTCTTAAATCGTGCACAACTGCCATAAGGGTCTATACAACTGGTATGAATAGATATTAGGTCAAATATATGTTTACGTTTATCTCCACTATTCTACAAGAACAGAGCTGATTTTCTTTCTTACGTCATCACTGTGCGACCTGCAATATCTTCTTTACGTTTAATTTTGGAACGCGCCGCGCTCTGCTGCCACCTACTGACACTAAACTTCATAAAATCAAGAAACGTGTCAACATTAAATGAGTTAAGAAAGAAAGAAATAGCATTTACAGAGGTATAGCAAGTTGTGTCTATACAAAATTGAGCCTAGATAAGATTGAAAATTATTTTAAAAAGTGTAAGGGACAAACACATCTAGGCATTTTTATTTTGCACACCATTTCCACCCTCACAATGTAAAAAGGTAAAGGATTTAAAGTGTCTCAACTAATCAATTAAAGTGAGCCACACTTAGAAATAAGTTACATGGGTACTTTAATATTTTATGTAATGCTTTTTATACAGTAAAATTGAAACAAATTAAAATAAAAAAAATCATAAAAAAACAGAAACCTGAAGGTTATTACACTTTAGTGCAGTTATATTTTGCCACTTATTTCACTATATCCTAGACTTTTTAAAATTGTCAAGAGTCCACGTTAACATGGCAGATCCAGGGTTTTTCCAAAGGCCTTCAAAATGCTTTAGGGCAAAGAAACTGAAGGTTCTTTATTTGATTAGTAATCGTTTTTTAAAACCACAATCAATACAATTCGTAAAAACAACAATCAATTGCTGGAAACTCTCCCTACATTATTAGATGTTGTTTGTTTTTTCCTTTTGTCTTCATCTCAGTCATTATCTTGAAAGGCAGATTTTCAACAGTAAAACACAAAGATACCTTCTTTAATTCTTCTTAAAGAATTAAGCATTTCCTTACATTCTCATATATTCCATCAGCATCTCATTATTTTGGGGACGTGGGTTTTTGCTGAGTTTTTAGTGCAACAGTCCTGTATTTCTCAGTTTGGTAAAAGTCCGAGTCGATGGTCTCAGTGGAGTCGTTCAGGGTAACGTATACATCCCCGCTGATCTCGGTAACTTCATGAATCCTTTGTTTGACACCCTTGGAGCGCCACTGAGTCCTCAATGGCTTTGCTGTGGGGTTGTCCACAGCTTGGTAAAGACATTCACCTTCAGCTAATGTGATCTTGTACTTGTGCCAGGGACAAACAATGCACAGCCGTCCATTAAACTCCTAATAATGGCAAGATAACAGATTATAAGACTGTAGATAGATAAAACAGGAGCTGATGTGAAAGCAGCATTGCCAGATAAAATCTGACAGAATAGTGATATCATGGATACTTAGGATTGTAAGTTCGTACTATATGTTTTTAATCTATTCAAATATTCATGAAAAATATTAGAAAAACTCACCTCAATGTCTCCATTCTGCAAGGCACCACCTGAATCTGTGAGTGACAAAAACATACTGCATCATATACATATGCAGTTTTACGGTTATACAGTAAGTCAATTATAAACAGTTATGTTAACCCAAACAATATCCACGGTCCAATATCTTACGGTAACAGCGCATGTCCATTGCATAAAGCTGCCCTCGATGATGCAACACCAGCACATCCCTGCACCCGTTCACAGACGTGGTCACACGTCCAGCCCTGACGATGTCCTCCTTCTTTCCGATGAAACACAGAGTGGGAGAGAAGGAAGACGGAGGAGGAGATGACGTAGAAGAGGATGTCTGAGAAATTTCCTCGTCGAAAGACATGCTCATCAAATCTTTGAGTAGATTTCCTGTAGATTAATCGGGTTTTTGTGTAAATGATCAGTTGCAAAGCACAATCACTGGAGAATTGAGTGCAATATCCAATATAGTTCATTTCCTTTAGGTTCTTCATGAGAGTATAGTTGATTTTAGGCATGGACCATAAACATGGCATAATGTATTGGTCATTTGAGATGCCTTTAACTCTAGAAAAAAGGCTTCAGTAAATGTAAAAGATCGCCTATTGAAAATGTAGGATTCTGCAGAAAAACTGCGATATAGGGACAGAGAGATGAAAACTCTTAAAGTTTTAAGAAGCCGTTAAATTCAAAGAAACACCACCGTGATCATAACAACCCAACGCTAACATTTACTCTACCTTCTGCAGCAGTCTATCTCTGGGACTGTCTTTCCTGGTTGTCATGGAAACTATTTATGCAAAAACACGCTGTTAGGCTGTCTTTTTAAACAGATTATCCCGATTAATTACATAAGCATCAAGTGATAAACAGTAACCTGATTTTCGAATTGACAAGGAACTCATGAGACAAGTGAAGTTCAGGAAGAGGCATAAGAACCAGTGTTGTGTGTTACATCTATTTGTGTCCCCAGTGAAACGCGAAACTTCCTTATAACCGATTACAGAACCTTCCACCAATTTTCTTTGCGTCTTTCCCTCACCGTTCTTTGTTTCGACGCATTAGAATCAAATAATTAATTAAAAAGAAATTAATATTGTGTAAATAAAAATACAACATGTGTATGTGCTGTCATGTGACCACTTGCCAATTAGCCAGTGGAAGTGACTGAGAACTTTATAAATTGAGTCGTCAATATTGCACCTGTATTTTCTCCTGTCTTTCTTTCTTTCTTTCTTTCTTTCTTTCTTTCTTTCTTTCTTTCT